TTTTTACACATATGTGATAGAAAAGAAATATTAAATTAGATGGATTTTTAGTACATAGTTCCATTTTGTGTACTGTAGTTTGAAAGCTTTAACCAGAGCCATAACTTTTTCTTTCAGGTTTCTGAGGGTACCCAGGCTTCTCACACCCTTTGACATATTTCTGCTAACAACATCACGTTACGATTCACTAATTGTATATTTTAATAATCGTATGTTCTCACCAAATTTGAACCTCTCACTTTGACTCACTTCTGCGGTTATATTTGTGTACAAGAACAAAGGATTAATTGGGTTCAAATCCCGGTCGGAACATGGCCTTTCTGAGTGGACTTTACATGTTCTCCCCGTGCCTGCGAAGGTTTCCTCCGGGTGCTCCGGATTCCCCTACCACTAAAAACATGTACAATAGGTATGAATGAAATCAGTGAGTGAATGGAGGCTGTTGGTCGGGGCTTTGCTGCACCAGTACTGTATGTTCGGTGTCCAGCTTCTGTGTGTGAATGGAAAAATATCGGATTTCTGAACATGTAACTATTTATGACTATTTTTGGGTTCAATATTACGAGTAAAATAAATGATTTTGTTGTTTTTGTGGGAGAATGCCATGCTTGCATATCGGCTGGATGGGAAGAGCTGTTAACCGATAGTTTAAATAATGGATAAAACTAAATATGGGCCTGATTCTGTACATCAGAACACACCTCTCCGGCTTCGAGAGGGAAACACAAACCACCGTCGACGTCTCCTCTCTTCACACGCTCCATCGGGACGGACATTACATCAATTTTCTCCCTCCCCTGCCCCCTCAAACATTGTTAGTCTGTTTTGATTTCCTGTTTACCTTTTGCCCTGAATATCTCTGCACACATTCTCTGTCACCAGGGGTCGATAGACAGACGTCCTGGCGGATCTCCCTCCAATGCGATGATTACAGGCTCCCCTTTATGCCGTGACACGTAGCACTTATCATTTGCATGTAAATCTGCCACATTGTTAGAATCTCGCCAAGCTCCTTTACCGTAATCGCTGTTATAATGCAAACGAAAGACGCGTTTCTTTCTTTCTTCGGTTACAACAATGGCAGGTTTTTTATTATTGCACAGACAGAGACGAGACGCATTGATTTTCCGGTGTGATTAATTACAGAAAAGTGCTGGAGTGACATTTGTGGGCTGGATTGTGGAGAAGGCACAGAGGTGGACCGCAGGGAGCAGTAAGGGCAGTATACAGCATGAAAAATGGAGTATGAGATGACAAGAGAGATCAACACAAATGACATTCTTCAAGGTTTAGGACTAAATCTAACATGGCATGGTCTATTCCGGCATGACACTTCCGGCTCCTGAGATTTTCATTTATTATTAACTTGCAGCTGTAATGGTAATGGGTGTCTCTGGCATGTTATACCTCATTTTAAAGCTACTCTTCTCAAGTAAACAACTATAGCTTTCAATGTATTGTTGCAATTTAACCCAACTCATTATCAGTATAAAAACATCTTCAAATTGGTCGATGTTTTGCCCAATCAAACCAGCAACTTATATTCAGAAAAAATATCTACTAGAATTTTCAAACTCATGTCCAAATGCCTTTATGCATTCAAAAAACAAAAGAAAACAGCTCTTATACTGTTGGCCCCGACCAAAACAAGTTTGACATTTTGACAGAAATTTACCATAAGTGATGTAGTTTATTATTCACAATTATTTACTGAATTTGAAAAAAGGAGGAAAATACATGAGTCTCTCTTTGAGTAAACTGGGATGGTGTATGTGTTTATTGATCTCAATCAAAATAAACACTATTTTTGCCTCAAATAGTAGCATTATTTTCTCATTTCTCACTTTTTATTCAGGTTGAACTGTCAATATAATGTTACACTACAGAAATAATATAGTGAGTTAAGATAAAAGGTGTGTAATGGCCCAGTGAACAACTGTTAACATTTGGAGGTGATCCAAATCCCAGTCTGGACTCAGGATTATTATTATATTTAAATAGAATGGAACTGAATAAGTATTCAGTTCCAAGAATGGTATTTTTTTCCTGCGTAAACTGTATATTACTATTACATTGTCTGTAGTGTGTAAGAATTGTGTATAGCTTCAGGTAGTAGAGAATTTGTAAAAATGACAAATTTCTGGGAACACAGCAATAGTAGAATCCTGCAGCTGTGATTTAGATGATGGATCTGAATGTTGCCCCTTCACAGATCTGATCAGTCCATCTCCCACCGCAGAGACCAGACCAGGCGGCAGAACTGACCTCTCGTGAATACAGCCAACGTGAAGCAACAGTGCTTTAGCCAAAACTTTTATTTCTCTCTGCCTTGGGAACCCACTCTTCTCTTAAACCTGAGTGTAGCTGTGAGTGCCATTCTGTGCGCTCGGCGGCCGCCCTCCAGCCTCCTCCAGTCGGTCGTTACAAAGGAAAGCCGGTCTCGGTCTGAAGCGAAGGACGCCAACAGCGGAGGTTATTATTTTTTAATGAGACTTTCTGACATTCTTTATCTTTGGTTTTTTTTTTCGCGAGGGGTTTACAGAGGAGATACATGGGGCGGTGCCATCGCAGACTACCTGCCGATCTATGTGTGTGTATGTGCGTATATATGTGTATGTGCATATGTCTGTGTGAGTGCCAGTGTGTATGAGTCCGTGTGTATCTATGTGCACGTATGTGTGCGAGTTCGTGCACGTATGTGTGTGTATGTGTCTGTATGTGTCTATGTGCGTGTGTGTGTCTGTACAGTATGTGTCTATGTGCTCGTATGTGTGCAGAGGTGTGTGTTTATCTGTGCCTGTGTGTGTGTGTGTGTGTGTGTGTGTGTATATGTGTGAACTCCAGCTTTACCACTCTCTCCATACTCAGAGCCTGTGATGTCATGGTGCTTCTGGGACCAGCAGGACGAAGGTTACTCTCTTCTCGACACATTAAATATTCTAAAACTTTGCCCATACTGCTTGGTTTAATGCACAGATGTCCAGCCGGAGCAGTTAGCCAATAACAAGCTGTGGGCTATGACAGCGCAGGCACATTAGCTTCCTGTGCGGAGCAAAGGCCCGTCTCGGCGTGGCGGTCAGAGAGGAGTCCCCGCTGTCTTTGTCGGAGGAGTTGCCATCAAGGGGAGGATGAGAGGCGCTCCTACGGGGGATGTTTTTTTTGTGGGTGCTGGGATTGGTGAGGTGGTGTGATAGCGTTTCTTTGTTCTTGGCTGACCACAGCGTAATGGAGGCGGCTCGAGTGGAAAGAAGTGCTTTTTATGTCCGTGAGGAGACTGGGGAGTGAGCTGTGGAGTTGGGACTGAGAGCAGAATGTACTAGTGCTGGGTTTCGCCTCTCCACAATCAGTGAATCTTCATCTAAAGATTGTTAGTTTTTATTTGTAAGCAGTATAATTATAATAATAATTATAATTATGTTATGTCTCAAAAGGTGATCTAGCAAATAGTTGAGGAAACCATTAAATAGTTAAACATGACTTTGAAATAGAATTTGAGTGCAAAACATATATGAATACAGTACTTGCTTGGGACAGTGGCTCAGTTGGTAGGTCATGGGTCTGAGCCCATCACGAGACCTTCTCCATCGACTCCCACTGCTGTCTGCTGTCGTTGTGTACTTGGGCAAGACACGTTTCCCCACTTTGCCTATGAGGCGCGCGGAATTAACAGCATGCTGCATGGCTTGATGTGATATGTGTATATGACTATTCATCAAACCATATTCCTCCATTGTGAGATCAATAAAGTATATCTTCTTCTTCTGGACTATTAAGAACACCTGTATACAAACCACACCAGCTATATGTTACAATAAAGTTGATTTTGTCGATATACAGCCTTTGAATATGTAATACTTCCTAGCTAATAGACCACCTATATGTGAAAGCTAGATCTTGTCAGACCTCTGAAGTTAAGCAAGGTAGGGCCTGGTTAATACTACGATGGGAGTCCTCTGGGAACATCAGGTGCCACAGTGGGGAAGTTGTAGCCTGCCAGACCCTTGTAGTTCCGCCATGCTCCACCAGAGGCGTTTGGCTGAACCACATGGGTCTGGTATCGAGCCCATAGCAAACGCCTTCCCCAGATTATTTTTTAATCGACCAATCAGGATTGCCGGTGTTACGTGGGGTTTGCACTGCCTTCTCAAGCTTCTCTCATGCAGCAGCGAGAGGAATCCAAGATGGCGGACGTAAAGTCCGCGAATCTTTTTAAAAGAGTAAATACGATCGAATTAAGACACGGATGTCACTTTTAATGCAATTTGAGGCGAGATGTTGATGGTTCTATGTTGATATGTGTGTGTTTTAAGAGTCAAATGTTCCTGTAAAGTTTGGTTGAAGCACTGATTCAGGCCTGTTTACACACTATGCAGCAGGGTTGCCAGGTTTGGTGGTTCCCGCATATTTTTTTCCAAGAGACTTGTAGGTATTAAATAAACAGAAAGACAATAAACAGAATCATGATAGCCCAAGTTGATTACATTACATTTTTAGCCAAAAAAATCATTCTGAGTGTTTTGAGTGGTTGAAAGCAGACTTCATTCAAGATAACGGACAAGTGGTCTATCCAATCTAATACAAGGATTTTTTTACAAGGCCCTGCCTTCTGAAATCCAACCACCATGACTCAGTACCGGACTCACGTGTGAAGTGCAGCGAACTACATGGGTCTGGCGAGAGTCAGGCTAGGGAAGTTGTGGCTGTAAAGTACTAAGCTGTTGTTGCCTAGACTTCACCCACATTGCTTAGAATAGTTCTGGTGTCTGTGTGGTTGATTAGTGGTGGTCACAAGGGCCGATGGCATAAACCGGTCACCACTGTGTATGGAGTCCAAAAAAGCCCTGTATGAAACACAGTGAATTATTTCATTTCATTTAATTTATATTATGATGGGTTTGTATGGATTTGGGTGTGGGTGTGGGGGGGTGGGGTAGGTTTGTGGTTATGATTTTGATTGTGTTGTATGGGGGTGTAGTTTTTGGTTTGGGGTATGTTGGGGGATGTTATTTTTGGGTGGGGTTGTTTTTTTGTTTTGTTGTGGGGTGGGGTTGTTTGTTTTGGTTTTTTGGGGTTTTGGGTTTGGTTGTTTTGGGGTTGGATTTTATTGTGGTGTGTTGGTTTGGTGTTTAGGGGTGTTTGTGGGTTTGTGTTTTTTTGTGGGGTTTGGTTTTGGTTTTGTTGGGGGTTGTTTTGTGGAGGGGGTTGGGGTTGGTGGGTGGTTTTGTTTTGTATTTGTTTTTTTTTTTGTGTTGGGGTTGGGGGGGTATGTGTGAATTTGGGTGGTTTTTGTTGGATTGGAGTTGGGTGTGGGATATGATGTGTTTGATTTTTTGATTTTGTTTGTTTGGGATTGTTTTTAGTTTATTATTTGTGTAGATTGGTGGATGAGGTTGGGTGTGTGGGGGTTATGTTTTTTTTTTGGGGGTTTTGGGGGGGGGGTTGTGTGGGGGTTGATTGTTGTTTGTTGGTTTTTGGGGAGTGTTGGTTTTAATTGGTGTTTATGGTATTGTAGTTTTTTGTTTTTATTTATTGTTTGTTTGATTTATAGGTGGATGTGTGGTTGATGTTTTTTTTTTGGTATTTGTGAGAGTTTTGATTTGTGTTGTTTATTTTGTTTGAGTGGATTAGGGGTTGTTTTGTGTGGTGGGGGTTTGTTTAGGTTGAGTGGGTGTAGTGTTGTTGGGTAATGTATAGTTGGGGGGGGTTATTAGAATAGTATAGTGGGTGGTTGTGTGGAATTTGTTGTGTTTTTTGTAGTATTTGTTAATTGTTTATTATTTTTTTAGATGTTAGTTGGATTTGTATTGTGTTAATGTTGGTGGGTTTTTGTTGTTAAAGTTGTGATATTTTTTGTTGGTTAGGGTTTTGGGTTTGTTTGTTTGGTTTTGGGTATGAATTTGTGGTGTTTAATGGGTGTTTTTAGGGTTGGTTTGTTTAGTGTGATGTTTGTGTTTTTTTTTTGTTTTTTATGGTTTGGAGGGGTGGGTTTAGTTTTTGTTTGGTTTTTTGTGTTATGGGGGGGGGGTTGTGGTTGGGGGGGGGGGGGTTTGATGTTAGGTTTTTTTTGTTAAGTTTTTTGGTTGTGTTTGGTGTTTTGGGGTTTAGTATTTTTTATTGATTGTGGGTGGGGATTTAGGGTGGTGTATTGTGGAAGGGGTTTTTGAGTGTGGTTTTGGATGATTTTAAGGTATTATGAGGGGGATGTGGGTGGTTTTTTGGGATTTGGATAGTAATTTTTGGTTGGGTGTATTTAAGGTGTAGGGGTGAGGTGTAGATTTATGGAGGTATGTATATGAATGATATTTGGAGTTTGGGGGAGGGGTGGGTGGTTGTTTTTGTTTTTTTTGGGGTGTGGTGGAATGTGATGGTGTGGTGGGTGGTATTTGGTTTGGTTTTTTGTTGTGGTTGGGGGGGGGGTGGTTTTGTGTGTTGTGGGGTGGGGGTTGTTTGGTGGGTGGGGGGGGTTATTGGATGTTTTTTGGGGAATAGGGTATTTGGGTAGTTGTTGTTTTTTTGGGGTGGTTAGTTTTTTGTTGTGATGTAGGTTTTGGTGAGTATAAAATGAATAGATTGTTGGATGTTTGTGTTTTGTGTTTTTGATTTGGTGATATTAGTGGTTTTGATTAGTAGTGGGTATTGGTTTTGTTTATAGATTTTGTGGTATATAGGTTGTTTTGTATGGGGGTGGTGTGAAATGGGAGTTTAGATTGGTATTGGGGTTGTATTTTTTTTGTGTTATTTTGTTGGTGATGTTGGGTTTTTGTTGTGGGGGGGGGGGGGGGGGGGAGGTTTGGTTTTTTATAGGATTTTGTGAGGTGTTGTGTTTTTAGTTGATGGGGGGGGATGTAGGTGTATGGAGTTTGATGTTTTTTTGGAGAAAAATTGTTTTTATGTGATTTTAGGAGGTAGGGGATGATGGATTGGTTATGGAGGGGAATGAGGGGGAGGATGAGGAATTGGGTTTGTAGTGGGTTATGAGTTGGAGATGTTTGTGTTGGGGGTAATTGGGGTTGGATTGGATTAATTTTGGTGGGGGATGATGGGGGTTGGGTGTTGTATGGGTTTTGTTTGGTAGATGGTGATTAGTTTGGAGTTGTGGGGGAAGATTGGAATGTATGGTTTTTTGTGGGGAGTTGTATGGAATGAAGGTTATGTAGAAGGTGAATGGAAATTTATGAGTTTATGGAAAGGATTGTGTTGTGGGTGTGTTGGGTTTAATTATTATTTTATTTTGGGTATAGGGTTTTTGGAGGTGAGTTTTTAGTTAGGGTGGTTATTGTTTTTTTATGGGGGTGGGTTTAGGTGAGGTGGAGAGGGAGTGAGATATTTTTATTAAAATGGGAGTGTTTATTATTGGGATATTGGGTTTGAAGAATGGGGGTAGTTTGTTGTTGGGTTATAGTATATGTTGAAAAAGGGGAAGAGAAAGTGTGGGGGGAGGGTGTGGGGGAGGTATGGGATGTGATTTAGGGGTATTTAGGTTTTTTTGTTGGGGGTGTTTGGTTTGTTGTTGATGGAGGGTGTTTTTTTGGGATGTTTGGTATGTGTTTTGTGTGGGTGGGGGGGGGGGTTTTTTATGGTTAGGGGATGTTGTTTTTTTGGGGGGGGGGTATTTGGGTGTATTATTAGTTTGGTTGAGTTATTTTTTTTTTGTTTTTGGTTTTAATATTGATTATGGTTTGTGATATTTGTTTTTGGTTGTGTTGTGTGGGGTGTGTGAGGGTTTATTTGAAGGGATTGAAATGGATTGTATTGGGGTGGGGGGGTGGGGTGAAATGGTTTGTGGGGTTGTTTTGGGGTGGGGGTTAAGTTTTTTTTGTTAGAATTTGGGGGTGTGTGTATGAGGTGATATGATTGTTTGAGTGTTTTATTTTGGTTGTGTTTTAAAATTTTTTGGGTATATATAGTGATAGTTTATAAAATTTTAGATATGTTGATGATAAAATTTTGTATGTATATTTAATATATTATTTAATTTATATATGTGGATATATAATTTTTGTATGTATATATATATATTATATTATAAATTTTATATATGTAGGATGGATAAAATTTTGTATATATATATATATTATAAAAATTTTATATATGTATATATAAATTTTGTATATATATATATATATCTTATATATTATAAAATTTTATATGTGTAATGATAAAATTTTGTTTATATATATAAGTTATAAAATTTTAATATATGTATATATAAGTTTTTGTATAATATATATATATATATATAAATTTTGATTGGTTTTAATTGGTTTAATAAAAAAGTAAGAATAGGTGGAGGGAGTGGGTGGGATATTTTGTGGGGAAGGGGAGTGGATATAGGGGAAGAGGGGGGAGGTGGAGGAATTGTTTTGGTTGTGTGTGTTTTTTTTTTTTTTTTTATGGAATAGGGTTTTATGGTTTTTTGTTTTTGGTTAATAGGTGGTGGGAATTGGGGTGGGTGGGATTGGGGGAGTTAATATTATATGGGGGAGATTAGGTAATTGAGGATGGATAATATTATTGATGTTTATTTAAAGTGAGAGTGGAATATGGTGAAGGGAGGATGGTTAAATGAGAATAAAGATTAATTATATTAGAGGTTTTGGGATGGGGAGTAGGGGGGTTAGTTGGGGGGGGTAGGGGAATTAGAAAGAGGAAAAGAAATATTTGGATTGGTATGGGGGGGTGGGTTGGGTTAATGAGGGATGTGTTAATTATGGATAATTGGGAGTGTATGGGGTTTTTTTTTGTTTTTGGTGAAATTTGGTGGGGGTAGTATTTTTTAGGAGGGTTTTATTTTTGGTATGGGGATTTAGAGATGTTGTTATGGGGTGTTTTAGGGGTTATGTTGAGGGATTGGGTTGGTGTAAGTTTTTGAGTGGTTTTTATATGGATTGGGAGTAGGGTGGGGGGGGGGGTGGGGGTTGTTAAGGTTGGGTTTGTGTGGGAGTTGGTTGAAGGATGGAATTTGTTTGGGTGGGTGGGGTATATATATGTAATATTTTGTATGTGGGGTGGAGGGATTGGGGGGGGGGAGTAGTAGGTTAGATGATTTGGGGTGGATTTGGGATTTGTGATGGGGGGGGGGGGGGGGGGGGGGGGGGGGGGGGGGGGGGGTAGTATGTGTAATGGTGGGGGATGGGATAAAGTTGATTTATTAGATAGGTGGATAAGAGGGGGTGGGTGGGGGGAATATGTGAGGGATGTAATATTTATTAATATTGATAGGGTATGGTGTGTTTGGTGGAGATGAGTGGGGGAGTGGGATATAGTTGGAGGGAGGGTGTTTGAGTGGGGGTGTTTTGGGGTAGAGGGTTTTTTGTTTTTTTGTTATAGGGGTGGGGGGTAGGTATGGGGGAGTTTTATGTAGGTGTTGGTGAATTATATGGGTTTGTGGAGTTAGTGTTTAGGTTTTTGAGATGATTTTTATTTTGGATATTTTTGTTTGGGTGTAGTTATGTTGAGTGGATTGTTGAAATTTGGTTGTTTTTTTGGTGTGGGGATTAGGGTTTAATTTTTTTTGGGTTTGATGGTATTGTATTGTATATATTTTAGTTTTTATAGTGTGTTGTGTTTTATTTGGGTGTTTGTTTGGGTTGTGTTTATGTTTTGAAGAAAATAGATTTTTTTTATTAGAAGGGGGGATAGATGAAGTTATGGTGTTTTTGTATGTTTGTTTATTGATGTTGGGTTTGAGGATTTGTTGGGTATTTAGTTTGGATGGGTGGGATTAGATTTAGGAAGAGAGAGAGAAAGAAGAGAAGAAATTTGATATTTTGTTTTTGGTTGTGGTAGATTGAGTGGGGGTTGGGTATTATGTATTGTGGGTTGTGTGAGTTATAGGGGTTAATATGGTAAAAGTGTGGGTAATATTGAGGTTGTGGTATTTGGTTGGTAAAAGAAGGTAAGAGTAGGTAGTAATATGATGAGAAAGTGAGGGTTGATATAGGAGGAAGAGATGGGAGTTGTTATGATTTGTTTGTAGGGGTTTTGGTGGGGGGGGGGGTTTTTAAAATTTGGTTTTGTTGATTTAGAAATGTATTGATTTGTGGTTGTGGTGGGTATGATGTGGAGTAAAGTAATAATTTAGGGTATGTAGATGGGGGGGTTGGTTATTATTAAAATATTTATTAAAATGGTAGTGGGGGATTTTATGAGGATGAGTGTTGGGTGGGGTTGGGGTGGTGTTTGGGAATGGGGGGTTGGATGGTGGATATTTTTTGGGGGGGGGTTTTTTTGTTTGTGGGTGTTAGTTTTTGGTTTATTAATAGTTTTGGGGGTTGGGGGTTATGGTTAGGTTGGTGGATTGGGGTTTTAGTTTTGGTGGTTTGGGGTTGGTTGGGGGAATTGGTGATATTAAGTTGGGGGTTTGGATTGGTAGGGTTTGGGATTGGAGTTTTTTTGGTTGGGGGTTGGTTTGGTTGGATTATTGTTTGGTTTGTATTTTTTTTTTATTGGGGGTGTAGGGTTTTTGTTTTTGGTTTTGAGTGATTTTTTTTTTTTTAGATGTTTTTTTTTTGGTGTGTTTGAGATAGAGAGAGTGATTAGGGTGATAAGAGTGTGATTGAGAGATGAGAGGGAGATAAGAGTGAGTGAGAGAGAAGAATTTGTTGATTTTAGGTTTTTTGTTGGGGGGGGTTTTGGTTTGGGTTGTTAGGTTGGGTTTATAGTGGGTTGTTAGTTTTAGGTTAGGTATTTTTGGTTTTGGTGGTAGGATTTTAGTTGTTGGTGGGTTGGAGGATAGATTTTTGAAGTGAGATAGGTGGGTGGGGGGTGGGGTTTGTTAGGTGGATGGGGGGTATGGGGATGTAATTTTGTATTGGTTTTGTTGGTTTTGGTAAATTATGTTATTATGTTTGATGGAGATTTTAATATGTATTAAAGGAAAAAGGGGGAGGGGTGTTGATTTTTGTGGTTGGTGTTGAGGGGAGTTTTTAGATGTGAAGTGTTTGTGGTGTGTGGTAATAGTGTGAAAGGTGTATGGATGTAGATGTGGTGGGTTTATTTTTTTTGATGGAGGGTTTTTATGTGAGATGAAGAATAGAATAAGGTTTAAGATTTATTGAATAAATTTATTTAGGTGTTTTTTTTTTTTATGTTGGGAGATTGGTGTTGTGTTTTTGGTAGTTTGTAGGGGTTGTAGGTATGAGGGGTTTGTATTTGTATTGGGGTATAAGAGGTGTAGTGTGGTTTGGTGGTTATGATTTTGTTGGGGTTTGTGGAAAGGGGTGATGGGTGGTGGGGTTGTTGGTTGGGTTATTTTGGGATGGTTTGTTTGTTGGTTAGGTTTTGGTGTGGGTGTTTGAGGATGGTGTGTGGGTGTGGGTGGTGGAGTGGTGTTTGGGTATGTTTTTTTGAGTGAGGGGGGAGGGTGTTTGGGGTTTGAATATGTTGTAGATAGAGTTGGGTAGATGAGGTAGTGAGTTGATGGGGATAGTATTAAAGGGGGGGGGGTATGTTTTTTAGGGAAGTAGGAGGGGGATTTAATTTTGAAGTTTGGGGGGTGTATGGTGTGTTGATTGTAGAAGGTAGGTGTTTGGGTTTGGGGGGGAAGTGGGGGGGATGGGTTGGGTTGTTTAGAGTTTTTGGGGTTGGGGGATGTTGGTGTTGGGTGGGTGGTTTTTTGGTTTTGATTATTTTTGATTTGGGGTTGTATGGGTTGGTTTTAGAAGTATTGAAGAGATATTTTTGAATGTGAAGGTGTTGTTGTGTTTAATTTTTTGGATTGTTTTTGTTATTTTTTATGTTTATTGGATGTTTTAAGAGATATTGGAATAAGGGGGGGGGGATGTTTTGTTAGTTTTTTTGTGTGTTTTTTGTTGTATATTGTGAAGGTGGATTTAGTTTAATTTTTTAGTATGTATGTTGGTATATATGTGTGATGTTTTTGGAGGTTTAGATTGGTGTGGGTTATGGTATTTTATTTGGTTTTTTGTTTGATTTGTAAGATGTGGGGTGGGTGAGGAGGGAAGTTGGTGTGGGGGGGTTTTTGAGTGGGAGGGGATTTGGGGGTGTTTGGAATTTTTTAAGGTGGGAATTATTTTTTTTTTTTTTGTTATAAGTATTTTGGTTTAGATGGGGAATGTGTGGGGATTATAAAGATTTTGTTGATGGATTTATTGGTTGGGGAGTTGGGGTAGTTTTGGTTGGTGATTTGGTTTTTGGTTGGGGGGGAGATATAATGATGGGGGGAGGAGTTTTAGGTTTAGGGTGTTGGGGGTTGGTGAGGGGTTTGGGGGATGTTTTAGAGGTATGGTGGTGTGATATTTAATGTGAGATTGGATTTGTTATTATTTTGTAGTTGGTAGGGGTATTGTTGGGTTAAAGATTATTTAATTGGTAAGAGAAATTTGATTTGAGTGTGGGGAGTGGTGGGTGAGAGTGGTATTGGGGGGGGGGGGGGGGGGGGGGGGGGGGGGGGGGGGGGGGGGGGGGGGGGGGGGGGTGGGGGGGGGGGGGGGGGGGGGGGGGGGGGGGGGGGGGGGGGGGGGGGGGGGGGGGGGGGGGGGGGGGGGGGGGGGGGGGGGGGGGGGGGGGGGGGGGGGGGGGTGGGGGGGGGGTGGGGGGGGGGGGGGGGTTGGGTGGGGGGGGGGGGGGGGGGGGGGGGGGGGGGGGGGGTGTGTGGTGGGGGGGGGTGGTGTGGGTGGTTTGGGAGGGGGGGGATATAGGTTGGGAAGGGGGTTTTAGGAGTGTTTTTGGTTTTAGGGGGAGGGTGTGATTTGGGTGTTATGGTAGTTAATTTATTTAGTGTTTTTTTGTTTTGAGAGATAATTAGTTATTGGGATTAATGTGGGGATGGGAAGAATTTGATTTGTGAGGAAAGGGGGTTTGGTGGGGTAAAGTTTTAGGGAGTGGGGGGTTTTGTGGTTTTGGTGATTGGTGTGGTGTGTTTTTGGTTGGGGTGTGTGTTGTTTTTGGGTTTGTTATAGGGTTTTGTATGTGTGATTGGGGGGGGGTGTGGTGTTTTTGGTTTATGGTATTTTGGGTTAGTGTTTGGGGGGTTGGGTTTTTTGGTGATTTTTTTTGGGGGATTGTTTGTTTGGGGTTTGGTTTGGTGTATTGTGGGTTGTGTAGGTTGTTGTGTTTGTGGGGTTTGTGGTTTTTGTTGTTGTTTTTTGGGTTTTTTGTTGTTGGGTGGTGTATTTATGGGGGTTTTGGGTGTGTTGTGGTTATGGTTTTGTTGGTTTTTTGGGTTTTTTTTGGTGTTTTGGTTTGGGTTTGTTGGGTGTATAGTGTTTTTGTGTGTTATGGTGGTTGTTGTGGATTTGGGTTTGATGGGGGTTTTGGTTTTGGGTATTTGGGTTTTTTTTTTTTGTTGGTTTTTGGTGGTTTGTTGTGGTTGTTGGGGGGGTTGGTTAGGGTGGAATGTGGGAATTTTTTTTTATTGTGGGTTATATGATAGGTAATGTATGATTTAGGGATGGGGGGGGGTGTAGTGTGGGGGGAGTGTTGGTTAGGGGGTTGGTTAAGGGTTTTTTGATATGGATTGTTTTGGTGGTGGTTGTGGTTTGTGGGGGTATGGTGGTGGGTTATATATTGTGGGGTTGGGTGTTGTGGGGTTTTGTGTTGTGTTTGTGGGTTGGTGGGGTTTAAGGTTGTGTTGGTGATGGGGTTTTTTAGTAGGGTAGTTGTTTAGGGAGTTTTGGGTGTTGGGGGGTTTGTTATGGGGGATGTAAAAATTTAGTATTGATATGTTTGATGGATGGAGTTTGTATTATGTGGGGAAGATGAATTTTAGGAGATGAGGGGGATTGGGTTAGTTTTGGAGTGGTAGTTATGTTGTTGAATTGTTTGATTTTTTTTTTATATTTTTGTGGGGGATTGGGTGGTATGTTTGTTTTGAATTTTAGGGGGAATGTTGTGGGAGATATAGTGATGTAGGGTTGTTGGGGGTGTTATGTGATTTGATAATTGAGGTGGGTGTATGGATATTATGGTGAGTGGGTTGAGGTATGGGAGTGTTGTTTTTTGGTTTTGTATGGAGTTAGTAGAGGGGATTGGTTAAGGGATATTGTGTAGGTGTTTTAGTTATTATGAGGATGAGATTAGGTAATTTTGTAAGAGTGGTGTGGGAGGTATGTATGTTGGGGGTGTTGGGTGTGAAGTTGGGGTGAAATATAGGGGAGTGGTGATATATTTGAGTTGATAGTTTTTTGGGTGAAGGGGAGGGATTAAAGGTGGTGAAGAAGGTTTGTTTGATTGGTTGGGGGAGGGGGGGTGGGAAGTTGTTGGTTTAAAGTGTGGTGGGTTTGTATAGGGGTGATTTGGGGTTGGGATGGGGGTGGGGGTTTGGGGGATATGGTGGGGTTGGGGTGGAGTTTTAGGTGGTGGGAAAAGGGAAAAAAGAGAGGTAGTAGGTGTGGAGGGAAATTTGTTGTGGGAAGATGATGGATGGAATAGGTAGTAGTAGTGGTGGGGGGGGAAGGTAGAGGGATAAGGAGGGAAATAGAGAAAGTTAGAGAGAAGTGGTAATTATGTGTTAGTTTGTGGTTGGATGAGGAGTTTTATTTGGTGGGTATTGTTTGAATGAGGATGTAAAAGAATAGAGGGGATGAAGATAAGTTATGTTTATTTGATATTTTTGTATTGTAGAAGAGAAAGGTGGGGAGAAATAGGAAATTTTGAGGGGTATATGGAGGTAGGTAGAGGTGGTTGGTGTATTTTTGGGGGGGTGGTGGGTGGGGGGGGGTGTGGGTAAGTTGTGGGGGGATTGGGTGTTGTTGGGGTTTGGAGAGTTATTTTGGGGTTGGGTGTGGTAGGTGGTTTTTGTGTGGGGTTTTTGGATTGTGGGGTGGATGGGAGAGATTTTTTGTTGTTTTGGTATGTTTTGTATGAGGGGGGAATGGGGGGGTGGTTTGGGGGGGTTGTGGGGTGGGGGTTAGTGTTGTTGGTTTAATTGAAGGTTTTGATTTTATTAGGTTTAAATTAGATGGTGATTTTTTGGATTTGTGATGGGGGGGGTTGTATGTAGTATGGGGGGTGGGTTTGTTGGTGTGGGTGTGGGTTTATTTTATAGGGGGGGGGGTAGGTTTTGTGGGTTTGTGGGTTTGGTTTGTTTGTTGGAGGGGGGTGGGAAAAATTGTGGTGTTTTGAGGAGTATGAGGTATGTGTTGGATGGGGAGGAGGTTTGAGATATTATGAAGGTGATTGGGATATTGGGATATGGGGGGGTATTTGGTTGGGGGGGGGATTTTGTGATTGGTTGGTGGGGGGTGGGTTATGGATTTTGGGGGGGGTTTTTGGTGTTTGTTGTGTGGGGTTATGGTTTTTTGGTTTTGTTGTAGTTTGGAGTTTGTTTTTTTTTAGTATTTTGAGTTAGTGTTTAGATTTTATGATAGGTTGTGAGGGGGGGAATGTTATATATGGTGGGGGTGTAGGGTTGGTTGTTTTATGGGTTGGGTTGATAGTTGTTTGTTTGTTGGTATGTTTGATGGAGGTGAAGTAAATTAGGGATATTGGAGTAGTTGATTGGTTAATTGGTTTTGGATTTGGGGTGTTTATGTAGTTGGGGGTTTTTTTATTATTTTTTATGAATTGATATTTTATTAGTTTGGGGGGTTATTTTGTGTTGTTTGGTGTTTTTTTTGTTTGGTTTGGTGTTTGGGTTGGTGTTTTTGTTATTTTGGGTTTATGGTTTGGTGTATATTGGGGGATTTTGGTTGGGGGTTGTGTGTTGTTTGGGTTTGGTGGGGTTTGAGAGAGGGTTGGGGGGGTGAGAGGTTTGTTTGGGGTGTAGGTTAGGGGGGGTGTGTTGGTTGTTTTTGTTGTTGGGGGGGGTTAGGTGGGTGGGGGGTTTTGGTATGTTGAATTGGGTGGTTTGGTTGTTGAGGATTTTTGGTTGGGGTTGTTTTTTGGTATTTTGGTGTGGTGTGTGGTGTTTGGATTGTTTGTGTGGTTTGTTGGTTTGGGGGTTGTTTGTGGGGGTTGTTAGTTTATGGGTATGGTGATTGTTTTGGGGTTAGAATAGTTGATTTTTTGTTTTTTTTTTTTGGGTGTTTTGGGGGGTTGTTATTATTTTAGGTGTTGGGTATGGGTTTATTTAGGATTTGTATTGGATGTTTTTGTTTTTGGTTGGTTGTGTTTTGTGTTTTGTGTGTGTTGGGGGTGTTTTTTTGGTTTTTGGTGGTGGTGGTGGTGTTATTTGGGATGGGTGGTAGGGTTGTTGTTGTGGGTGTTTTAGTTTTTAATTGTTTTGTGGGGGGGTGTTGTGTTGTTGTGTTGGTGTTTGTGTGGGGTGGGTGGGTGGGTGGTTTTTGTTTTGAGTGGTTTTTTTGTGTTTTTTTTGTTAGTTTTTAGGGTGTTGTGGGGTTGTGATTTGTTGATGTGGTTTATTTTGGGTTTTGTTGGGTTGAGGTTTTTTTTTGGTTGTGATTTATGTTTTTTTTATGAGTTGGATTGTTGGTTTGTATGTTGGGTTGGGTGGTGGGTGGTGGGTTGTGGGGTGTTGGGTTGTGGGGTTGTGTAGTGGTGGTAGTAGATGAGATGGTGTGAGGTTTTTTTTTATTTTGTTATTAATTGTAGTGGGTATTGTTTTGTTTGTGTTTGGTGGTGTTTGTTTTTTTTGGGGTTTTTTTTTTAGAGGTTTTGGAGTTAGTATTTGGTAGTTTGTATTGGAATTTAGGGGATAAGTGGGTAATTTAGATAGTGTGGTTAATTGTTAGTTTGGTGGTTAGATTGAGTATTTGTGTAGGATTAGTTGTGGAGTGGTTTTTGTGGTTTTGTGGAGTTTTTAGGGGTGTGATATTTTTGATTAGGTTGGGTTATGTGTAGGGGGGGTGTTTTGGGTGGTTGTGTATTTTTTTGGTTTGGTGTGAGTTATTGTTTGTGGGGGTGGTTGTGTTGTTTTTTGTAATGTTTTTTGTATGTTTTGGTTGGATAGATAGATTATTTGTTTTGGAGTGATTTTGTATTTTTATTTATTATATGGGATGTTTGTGATGATTTTTATGTATGTTTATTTGTATTTGGTTTTTTTTGTAGTGGTTGTGTGGGGGGGGGGGGTTTGTTTTGGAGTGGGTATTTGTTGGGGTTAGTGTTGGGTAGATTTAGTGGGGTGTTGTTTTGGGGGTTTTGTTGTGGTGTTGGTGGGTGTGTTGGTGTAAGGTATTTGTTTTTAGTTATGGTGGGTTGTTTGTTTGGTGTTATTAAATTATTAGTGTATGGAGAAAGATGGAAAAATTTGAATATGAGATAGAAATGAGAAGATATATGTTTTTATTGGAGGGGAATTGATATATGAATTGGTTGAGGGGATAATTTTATTTGTTTATAGTGATTTATAATAAGATAATTGAAAAATAAATATTTTTTTTATGAAAAAGGTGGAAAGAGATGAAGAAAAGGGTGGGATTAGAAGAATATTTGTATTTAGGTAAAGAAGAAGTAAGAATAATTTTTTAAGGGGAGATATATTTAGTTGGAAGTTGGATGTAATTATAGGGTGGGGGGAGTTAGGGGAGGAAGAGGTTTGAGGATGGTTTAATTTGTGGATTTGGGGTGTAGTGGTGTTGGGGATTTTGGTTTTATATGTTGAGGTATTTTTTTTTTTATAGAGGTGTGTTTGGTTTTGTGTTTTTTGTGATTTTTATTTTGTTTGTTTTTTTTATTTTTGTGGTTTATTTATAAGAGGATATAGGTATTATTGGTTATGAGTTTGGTATATTAAGATAAATATGTTTTTTGTTTTATATTTATATATTAGGGGATAGTTAAGAATATATTAGGAATGTTGTATATAGTAGATGTATATAAGAATAATATATTATGTGATATGTATATTTGTAATATGAATATATGTTGTATGGGAGATGGGATTAAAAAATGGTGAGAAGAGGTTTAAATGAATTTTTTTTTTATTTGTTTTTGGATTTTGAGATGGTTTTTTGTTGTTAGAATGGGGAGGTAGGAAGGATTAAGTTAAGGAGGAGGGGTTATAATGGTAGGGGTTGAGGGTGGGAGAAAGGAATAGGGGATATTTGGGATAAGATATAGTATAGATGGGTTTGTTTGGATTTGGATTTGTTGTTTGGGGGAGTTTGGGATAGGGGGAGGATAGGAGGTGGATTTTGATGGAGATGTAGGGGAGGTTGAGGTTGTTGGGTGTTTGAGGTTGGGGATTATGGGATTGAATGATGATTTGATATTGTTTGGTAGTGTGGAGGGGGATATTTTTGGGGATGGGGGTATTTGGAGATGTTGTTAGTTGAGTGTATATTGGAGTATATAGTATGTATTGGTTGTGTGTTATGGGTAGATGTTTTTTTGTATTGGAGTTTAGTTGTGGTGGATGAATGGAGTGGGGTTTGTGTTGTTGTTGAAGTGAATTAGGTGGGTGATAAGAATTTGGGGTTATGGGGATAGGGGAATGGTATTAAAAGGGGTTGAGGTTAGATAGTGTGGTGGGGATGGTGGTTATGGGTGTGGTATGGATTAAGTGTTTGTGTGTTTGTTTTTGTTGATAGTGGGGGTATTTTTTGGGGTGGGGTGGTTGATTGTTTTTATGGATTATGAAATGGGTAGTTTTTTAGTATGTGGGGATGAAGGGGGGTTTTGGATTGTTTGTTGGGTGTTGTTTTTGTAGATAGGGGTTTGGGGAGGATTTTGGATTTAGGGGGGGATAATTATGTGTTTAGGGGGGTGGGGGGGGGGTTGGGATGTTTTTGGGTTAGTGGGTTTGGTGGTTGTGGGGGTAGTTGTTGTTGGTGGGGGGGTTTTTTTTGTTGGTGATTTGGGTTGTGGGGGGGTGTAGGGGTTTGGGGGGTGGTTTGGTTTTATTGTATGGTTTTGAGTGTGGGGGTGAGGTGGGTTGTGTGAGGGGTTTGGGTGTGTTATAATGTTATAAATGGTAATGGTATTTTTGGTTTTGTGTGTTTTTATGATTAATGAATGAATTGTTAAATGTTTGTTGGGTGATTTTTTGGTTTTGGATGGGGGGTTGTGGATTTGTTTTGATGGGGTATGTGGGGGTGTAAGAAAGTTGGGGGGGGAGAAGAGTATTTAAGAGGGGATGGAAATATTGAATATATATTTGGATAGTTTATAGGGGATGGTTGGTGGATTTTTAATTTTGATTGGGAAAGATAGGAGGGATGTTGTTTTTAAGAATGGGGGGGTTAATTTTTTTTTTTATTGAGGGAGGGATGGTGTTTTAGTGGTAGGTTTGGTAGGATTGGGAGTTATTGGATTTGGTATGGATTTTGTGTTGAGTAGGGAATTTGATGTTTGTGAAGGTTGATGAGTTGGGTTTGAAGAATTAGAGGAGTTGATAATAAAGAGGTATTTTGGGGGGATTTGTGGATGGATTTGTGATTTGATTTTATTAAGTTATGGGGTGGGATATTGTTTTGGTGTTGGTATAGAAATTGTGAGGGGTTTTTTTGATAGGGGGGGGGGAAAGTGATTATGGTTGGGTATGGTTTTGATAAATTGTGGGTGGGTGAATGGTGGGTTTATTGAGGTTATGAGAGGAATGAATAAGTGTGATTTTGGATGGAAGAAATATGTTTATTATTTTGATGGGTGGGTAGAGTTGTGTTAAATTTTTGTGATTTTGTGGTATGGGATTTTGAAGGGTGTGGGGGGAATGGATATATATTTAGGGTATTAAGATGTAATGGTAAGGGTTATTTAAATATTATTAGATATGATAGATAGGGGGGTGGGAGTGGATGGAAGTGGTTATGGGGGTGTGGGTTTGAAGTATAATTGAAAGGAAATAATTTATGGGTATTTGATAGATTTTAATGGTGGGCAAGTGAAGTGGGGGTTAAATGGTTAGGGGGGGTGGTTATTGTGTTAAATTTGTGATTGTTGGATTTGGGGTTTTATTTTGGGTGGGTTTTGTGTAGGGTGTTGAGTTAGTGGGGGTATTTTGTGATGGGGTTTTAGGGTAAAGATTTTTTGGTTTTTTTTGGGGTGTGGGTTTGGAGGGATTTAGTTTGTAATTGGTTAGTGGTTTGGTTTTGTTTGTTGTTGGGTGTGTGGGAGTGATTATGTGGGTTTTTTATTTTATTTTTTTTTAGTTGGATAGGGTGGGGTAAAGTGGTTTGGGGGAATTGATGGGGTATTGAAGTGTTTGGTTAGGTTAAGGATGTGTATAGAAGTTAAAGAGAATGTGAGGTGTGAGATTAGATGGGGGGAGTTTTGGGTGAGTGTATGTGGGGTGGGTTGTGTTGATTGGTTTATTTTTTAAGTAGATTTTTGATTTAAATAGAATTTTTAAAAGTAATAGTGGATTATATTTAGGTATTGTGATTGATGATAATAATAGGGGGATTTGGGTTAATATAAATAGATAATTGATATAAGGATTTTATGATTGTGTAGGTATGGTGGTAGTGGGGAGGTTGGATGTGGGAGGTATGATGGGGAGTGGGGGGGTGGGGGGTGTGGGGGTTGGGTTTTTTGAGGTTTTATTAGGTGGGGTGGGGTTTGTGTAATTATGAGTTTATATTATTGGTGGTGGTTGTTTGTGTTGTTTTTTATTTGAGGTTAGGATAAGAGGTTTTTATGTTAATTGTTTTGAAGGGGGAAATATGAGATATGGAGAATGAGTAGAATAGGTGTAGAGGAGGGTAGGGTATTTATAGGTTTAAAATAGGAAAATTTTAGAAATATTTTTTGTTTAGTAGATATTGATTTATAAGAAGAAGGTAGATAATTAGATTGTATGGGGGAGGGGTGTGGGTTAGGGGATGAGAGGGTAGGAATTAAATTTTAATTTGGTGTTTTGGTTTTTGTGGTGGGGTGGGGGTGGGGTTGAGTTTTGTGGTTTAGTTTATGGGGTTGGTGGTTTTTTGTATTAAAGGGGAAGGGGTTGAGAGTTGTTTGGGATTTTAGATGATGGGTGTGTATTATTTTAGATAGTATGTGTGAGGATAGAATTGATATAGGATGTTATTGTTTTTATTTGGGGGATATAGTGGTGTTTTAGGAATGATTTGTATTTGATGGTGGTTATTGGAATGTTTATTAATTTATTATATGTTATGGTGGTTTAGTTTAGAATGGGGGAATAGAAGGTAGGGTAATGTTGGGTAAAAGAGAGATTTTTAAATTGGTTTAGATGATAGGGAGGGATAGAGGGGTATGGTATAGGGGATGGTGGTGTGGTTAGGTTATATATTATATATTTTTAGGTTTGGTTGTTAGGAAAGGAGGGAGAGAGAGATGAGGGGGGGGGGGGGGGGGGGGGGGGAAGTGGATTTTGATGTGAAGTGTTTGTGTAATGTTTATGTGTAGGGGATTTTGATTTGATTATAATGGGAAGAGGTAGATGTAGAAGATATTTGAATGGTGTTTATTTGGTTTGGGGGTAATATTTTTTTGTTGTTTAGAGGGATTATGTATTGGATGTTTTTTAGGATAAGGAGGGTTTTATGGGGGAGGGGTTGGAGTAGGGGGTAGGAATTGAGGGAGGTAGTATTATGATGGGTTTGGGTTGTTTGTATAATTGTTGGATAGGGATATTTATTGGGGTAGGGAATGAATTTTTTTGTGGGTTTTGAGAATTTTGGTGTAGGGTTTTATGTTTAAGTAAAAGTGATATGAATTTGTTGGGGGTGGAGGGTTGAGGGGAAATTTGGTTTTTTTTGTTGGTTGATGGTATTAATTGATATGTATGGATTGAGTGTGGGGAATAGTGGGGATGTTTTTAGTTTATATTGTTTATTTAAGGGGAAGGAAGGGGGTAGGTTTAGGTTATTGGGTAGTTTTGTTTGGGGGGGGGGTATGGATTGGGGATTTAAATTTTATGTTATTGGAATTTTTATGGGGTTGTTTTTATGGTGGGTTAGATTAGTTTATATTTGGATATTTTTTTTAATGGGGGTTAGGTTGTTTAAGGGTTGGTGGGTTAGGGTTTTGTGAGTGTGTGTTGTTGGAAGGGTGGTTTTTGGGGTTAATGTGATAATAGATTTTGATATTAGTTGGTGTAGTAGAGGTTTTTGTTTTGGATTGTGGAGTGAGGGTTGGGGGGGTGTGTATAGGTTTGTGTGGGTGTGTGGTTTTTTTGTGGGTGTATTTATTTTAGATGTTTGGTTTAGGGGGGTATGATTGGGTATTTTTTTGTGAGTATGGTTGTATGTTTAGTGGGTTGTGGGTTGAAGTTTTTTGTGGAAATTGAGTGTTTTTTGGGGTTTTTTTTGTGGGGGTGTGTTTTTTTTGGGTGTATTTTTTTGGGTTTGGGGTTTTTTTTGATATGGGGTTGGGGGGGATTTGGGATGTATGAGGGATGGGTATTGAGTTTGGAGTATTGGTTTGAGATTTTTTGGGGGGGGGGTATGTGTTGTGTGTTGGTTGTTTATTTTGGGGTGGGTTGTTAATTGGTAATGTATTGTAGGGGATATGGTTATTTGAGGAGTATTGATGGGGGTGAATTTTGAAGGGGGGGGTATGAGGGATTTGATGATTATGGGGAGTTATGTATGGTATAGGGGTTTGTTGGGTTTTGTTGGGTGGTTGGGTGAGGAATTGTTATGTGGTTGTGATTTTGTTGGGGTTTGGTTTTGTTGGGGTGGGGTTTTGGTGATATATGTAGATGATGATTTATGTTGGTGTTATTATAAAAGGGGGGTGTAGGTGTTGTAGTGGGTAGGTGGTATTTGTTGTAGTGATAGAGATTTATGGTGAGTAGTTTAGGGGGAGTTAGGTTGGAGGGGGATGGGATGGTTGTTATTTGTTAGATTTTGGGTGGGTTTTTGGGGAGGGGGGTGGTATTTATTGTTGGATGTTTATGTGTAGAGGGGGAATTTATTGGGTTGTTAAGAGGTTTAAGGTGGGTGTGTGTTGTGGGGTGAGTTGGGTGATGTAGGATTTAATATGATAGATAGGGATTATTGTGGAATTTATGTGTTGAGTATGTGTTTGGTGGTTTTGGAAATGATTATTGTGGTAGGGGTTTTGAGTGGGAGTAGGTGTTTAGTGATTGAAGGGGGGGTTTATTGTGTTGTATTGGTTGTGGTGTGTGGGTGGTGTGATTTTGTAGGGGAGTTTTTATTATTGTATTTATTATAGGTGGGGTTTTGGGTGGGTTTTTTGTGGGTGTTGGTGGGGGGTTTTTGTGTTTTTTTTTTTATGTTGTGATGGTGATGTTTTTTGGGTTTTGTTGTTGTTAGGGGGTTGGTTTAGGGGAATAATTTGGGTGGTTAGATTGGGGGGGTGTTTGGGGGGTGTTATTAGTGGGAGATTTGTTTGTTGATGAGGTGGGGGGGGATTGATAGTTTGTGTGGTAGTGTGGGTTAGGGGAATGTAGGTGTTGTATGGATTATTTTTGGGGGGGTTGTGTTTTTATATGGTTTTGGGGGGTTGGTGTTTTGATTATTTAGGGATGGGGGGTGAGGGATAGGGGGGTATATATTGGGGGGTGTTTGTTTTATGGGGGGGGGATATTAGTTGATTGATGATTGTGTGGGGGTGGTTGGGGTGTGTGTGTAGTTTGAAAGAGTGAAAATTGTATGGATAATAAAGATTAGTATTTGTTAGTTTTTTTAGTTTTTTTTTTTTTGAAAGAATGTTTTGGTTATTGTTTGTGGGTGGGGGGTGTGTTATTTGGGTGTATTTTGTGTTGAGTGGTGGGTTGGTTTTTTTGGGGGTTGGTGTTTTGGGGGTTTTGTTTTTGTTGTTGTGTTTTTGGGGTTTTTGTTTTGTTGTTTTATTTAGTTGGGGTGGGTGTGGTTTTTTATTGGGGGAGTGTGTTGGTGTGTGTTTGTGGTTTTGGAATTGATTGTTATGTTGTGTTGTGTTATTGTGTGGAAGATGGTTGTTTTTTATATAGGAAGGTGAATTTATGAGTGATTATATTAGGAAAATGTATATTTTAATGGTTTAGGAAGTGTTTTTGAGAATAAGGTAGTGGGTTTTGGAAGAGGGATATTGTTATATAGATGGTTGAAATAAGGTTGTGGGGTTGTGGGGGATATGGTTTGTTTGGTGTTTGATAATTTTTTGTATGGGATTTTGTAGGGGGGGGTTGGGGGGGGGTTTTTTGGTTGGGTGTGATGTATTTGTGTGTGGATGATTTTAAATGATATGTGTGGGATTTATTTTAGGTTTTGGTGTGGTTTTGTATGGGGATTATGGGGGGGTGAGGGTGGATTTGGGTTAGTGGAGTTGTGTTTGAGAATTGTATAGGGGTATTGTTGTTGGGGTGTTGGTTGATATAATTGTGGTTTTTGTGTGTGAGTTTGTGATTAGTTAGTATGTAAGGTGGATTTGGTGGGGGGGATTATATTGTGGGATGATGATGGGGGAGAGGTATTTTAGATTTGGGTTTTTTGGTTATGGGAGTGGATGGTAAAGTGGTGGTTTGTGGGTTCTTATTGAGTGTTTTGGGTTGAATTGGGGTGGTGGTGTTGTGTTGTTTTTGGGGTTTGGTGTTTTTTGGGGTGTTTGGGGTGTTTTTTTGGGGGTAGGTTGTTTTGTGTGGGGTGGAGGGGTTATTTTGTGGTATTGGTGTTGTGTTTTTGGTGGTTGTGGTTTTGTGTGTTGGTGTGGTTGTGTGGTGTTTGTTATGGTTTTTGGATTGGGTTTGGTGGTGTTGGGGTGTGGTGGGTGTTTTTTAGGGTAGTTTGGGTTTGGTTTTTTTTTTTTTTTGGGTTTGGTTGGTGGTATTTGGTATGGGGTGTATATGGATATGTATTTTGATGTTTGGGGGTGTGTTTTATGGGGGTTTTTGTTTTTTTTGTGGGGGATTTTTGTTTGGGGGGGGGTTTTGTTGTGTGTGGGGTTGGTTGGGTTGGGTTTTGGGGTTTGGGTTATTTTGTTTAGGGGGGGGGGGTTGTTGGATGGGAAAGAAAGTTGGTATGGGGGATTGGGGGGGGGGGGGGGGGGGGGGGGGGGGGGGTTTGTTTTGGGGGGGTTTGTGGTTTGGGGGTGTTGGGGGTTTTTGTTTGTTTTGGGTTTTTTTGTTGGGTTGTTTGTGTGGGTTTTGGTTTGTTGTTTTGGTGGTTTTGTGGGGGGGGGGGTTTGTGTGGTGTTGTTGGGGTGGGGTGTTGTTGGTTTGGGTTGGGGGATTGTTGGTTTTGGTTTGTTTTTGTGTTTTGGGTTGTTGTGGGGTGTTTTTATGTTGTGTTGGTTGGTTGGGGTTGTGGTTGGTTGGGGGTTGGTTTATTAGTTTGTTTGTTGTGTTGGGGTTGTGTTGGTTTTTTTTTTTGGGTTGTTTTTAGGTTGAGTATGGTTGGGAGGGTTTGTTTTTGTGTGTTTTGGGGGTTTGTTGTTGTGGGGGGTTTTTTTGTGTTTGTTTTTGTGGGTGGGGGGATGGTGTTGGGTTGATTAATTTTTTTATGGTTAATGTGATTGGTGGGGTGGTGGTTTGTTATTTGAGTTGTTATGTTTGGTGTTAGGAAAGTTATAGATAATTGGTGAAGTGGGGAGAAGGTATGGAATTTTTGGTTTTTTTGTATGGTAGGATTTTGGGTTTTGAAGTTGTTATGGTGTTTTGTTGTTAGGGGTTTAGGGGGGTGGTTTGTGGGGGTTGTTTGGGTTTGAGGGGGTGTTTTGTAGGGTTGTTGTGGTGGTAGGGTAGTTTAGGGGTTAAATGTGGGGGGTTGTGTGGTAGTTGGTTGTTTATTGTTTGGTTTTTTTTTTTGTGGGGTTTTTGTTTTTGTTGGGGTTGGGGGTGGGGTTTTTTGGGTGGGGGGGGGGTGGGTTTGGGTTGGGGTGTTTGTTGTGGGTTTTTTGTTGTTTGGGTTGTTTTGTGTTGAGTGTTGGTGTTAAGTTTTGGGGGGGGTGTGTTGTTGGTGTTTTGTTGGGTTGTTTTTATTTTTTTTTTTTGTTTTTGTGGGTTTGGTTTTTATGGTGTTTTGTGTTGGGGGGGGGGGGGGGGGGGGTTGGTGGTTTTGTTGTTTGGGGGGGGTATTTGGTTGGTTGGTTTGTTGTGGGTTGGGGGGGGGGTGTATATTGGTGGGGTGTTGGGGGGGGTGATATTGTTGGTGTGGGGTTGGTTTTGGGGGGGTGTGGGTGTAGGGGTATTTGTGGTGTTGTGTTTTTTGGTGTTGTTGGTGTGGGGGGGGTTGGGGGTTTAGGTGGTTTTGTTTGTTGTAGGGTTGGTGTTGTGGTGGTTGGGGTTGGGGGGGTGTTGATTGGTTTTATGTGGGGGGTGGGGGTGGTGTGGGTTTTTTTGTTGGTGGGGTTGGGGGTTTGGGGTTTTTGTTTGTTGTATGATGGGGTGTAATGGGTTGAATGGATGGTTTGTTGGTTTTGTATTAAATTGTGTTGTGATTATTTTTGTTTGTTTTTGTTGGTGTTTTTTTAGTGTGTGGGGGGTTGTTTGTGTGGGTTGTAGGGGGATTTGGGGGGGTTGGGGTGGTTTTGTTTTTTTTTGTGTTGTTGGGTGTTGTTTGGGTTGTGGGTTTTTGTGTTGGGGTTTGGGGTCGTTTGTTATTGTTTGTTTATGGTTGGAGTGTGGGTGTTGTGTTGGTGGGGGGTTGATGTTTGGGTTTTTGTTTTGTTGGGGGGTTGGGTGGTTATATGTTTTTTGTGATTTTTGGTTTATAGATGTTATTGAGGGGGGATTTGTGTAGGTTGTTTTGAATGTTATGTTGAGTGTGGTGAGGGTAGTGTGTGTGTGGGGGGGGGGGTGTTAGAGATATGGAGGTGGTGTGATTAGATGAAAGAGAAGGGGTTGGGGTGGGATGTGATATGTGTTAGGGTGGGGGTGGGGATGGGTGATAGTGGGGGGTTGTGGTAGGGATTAGTAGTAGTTTTGGTGGGATATGTGTTGTGGAATTTTATTGATTAGTATTATATATTTGTGGGAAATTAGGTAGTTGTAGTTATGGTTGAATGTTTGGTTTTGTTGGGTTTGTGGGATTGTTTTGTGTTGGGTTTTGTATGGGGGGGGGGGGGGGGGGGGTTTTTGGTTTTTTGTGTGGTTTGGTTGGTGGGGGTGTTGTGTTGGGGGTTGAGTGGGGTTTGGGTTTTTTGTTAGGGGTGGGTGTGAGTGTTTTTGTGTTTTATGGTATGTGGTGTGTTTTTTGTTTTGGGTTTGGTTTTGTGGGGGGGTGTGGGGTGTGGTGTTGGGGTTTTTTTTGGGTTTTGTGTTTGGGGGGTTGTTTTGGTTGGTTGGGGGTTGTTTTGTTGGGTGGTGGGGGATTTTTGATATTTGGAAGGGTGTGTGGGTATGGGGTGTTAAAGAGTTGGAAGTGAATATGGAATAGTTTTGTTTTTTGGTATTGTGGGTGTTTTTGGGTGGGTGGGTGTGGGTTGGTGGTTTTGTTGTGGGTGTTTTGGTGGGTTGTTTTTGAGTTGGGTGGTTGGTTTGTGGTGTTAGTGGGGGTTTGTGGTTGGTTTTGTTGGTGGGGGGGGGGGGGGGGTTTTTGGTGGTTGTGTGTGTGTTTTGGGTGTTTGGGGGGGTGTGGGGTGTTTTGGTTTGGGGTGGTTTTTTTTGTTTGTTTGTTTTTTTTTTTTTTTTTGATTGTGTAGTGTGATTTTTGTTGGGTTTTTGGTTTGTGGGGGGGTGTTTGTTTTGTTTTTTTTTGGTGTGGGGGTGGGGTTGGTTGGGGTTGTTGTTTTTTTTTGGTGTGGTGTTTTTTTTTTGTGGTTGTTTGTGGTGTTTTTGTGGGGGTTTGTTATGGTGTGGGGTTTAGTTTTGGTGTTGGGTTGGTTTGTGATTTGGGGGGTTTTAGTTTTTTGTTGGGTATGTTGTAGTGTTGATTTTGTTGTTTGTGGGTGGTGGTGGTGTTTTTGTGTGGGGGGGGGTGGTGTGTTTTTTGGTAGTTGGTGGGGTTGGTGGTGGGTTGGTTTGGGTGGGGGTGGGGGGGGGGGTGTTTTTGGGTTTTTTTTGGTTTGTATTGTGGGGGTGTGGGAGGTGGGTGTTTGTGGTTGGGTGGTTGGTTGTTTTGTGTTGTTGGTGTGGTTTTTTGTGTTGTGTGTTGGGTGGTGGTGGGGGGTTGGTTTGGTTGGTGGGGTGTTTGGGTGTTTGTGGGGTTTTGTTGTGGTGTTTGTTTTTTTGGGTTGGGTTTGGGGGGGTTTGGGTTTTTGTTGGGTTTTGTATTTTTTGTGGTTTTGGGTGTGGGGGTTATTGATTTTATTTTTGTGTGGTTGTTTTTTGTTTTAGTTTGGGTTTTGATTGGGATTTTTGGTGGGTGATGGTTTTTTTTTTGGTTTTTAGTGGTGTAGGGGGGTTTGTATTGTTTTTGGGTGTTGGGGGTTTTTGGGGTTTTGTTGTGGGGGGTGTGGTGTTTGGGGGTTGGTGGGGGTGTTTGTTTGTTTGTGTGAGAGGGTGTTGTGAGGGGTGGGGGTTTGGTTGGTTTTTTAGTGGGGGTTGTTTTTGGGGGTTTGTGGGGTGTTGTGAGTTTGGGGTGGTTGGGGGTTTGGTTTGTGTTGGGTATAGTTGGTTTGTTGAGTGTGGGGTTGTGGTGGGGTGTTTTGTGTGGGGTGGGGGGGTTTGGTTTGGTTGGTGTTGGGGGGGGGGGGGTGGGGTGGTTTGTGTTGGGGTTGGGGGTATTTGGTGGGGGGTTGTGGTTTGGGTGTGTAGTGGTTTGGGTGTGGGTTGTGGGGGGGTGGTTGGGGTTTGGGGGGGGTGTTTGTGGGTGTGTTTTTTGGTGGTTGTTGGTTGGGTGGGTTGTGTGTGTTGGGGTTATTGGTTTTGTGGTGGTTTTTGTTTTTATTGTTTTTTTTTGTTTTGTGTGTTGGTTTGTTGGTTTTGTTGTGGGTTTGGGTGGGGGGTGTGTGTTGTTTTTGTGTGGAGGTGGTTTTTGTGGGTTGGGGTTTGGTGGGTTGTTTTTTTTGTTTTTTTTGTTGTGTGTTTTTGGGGTTTTTGTTGTGTGGGTTTTGTTTTGTGTGGGTGGTGGGGGTGGTTGGGGGTGGTGGGTGTGGGGGGGGGGGGTTGGGGTTGGGGGTTTGTGGTTTGTGGGGTTTTGTATGGGTTGTGGGGGGTGGTGGGTGTTGGTGGGGTTGGGGTGGTGGGTTGGGGGGGGGGGGGGGTTGGGTGTGGGTTAGGGGGGTTTGGTGGGTTTGGTGGGGTGGGGTGGGGGGTTGTGGTGGGGGGGGGTTTTTTTTTTGGGTTTGGTGGTGTGGTGTTTGGGTTTGGGGGGTGTTTGGGGGGGGGGGGGGTGGGGGTTAGAATTGGTTAGTGTAGTGATGGTTGATGTGTAGGTGGATGGGTGTATTTTTTGTAGTGTGGGTGTGTTTTGGGTTTTGTGTTTTAGGGGGTTTTGGTGGGGGTTGTTTTGTATTTTTGGGTTATGGTTATTTGGTTGTTTTTTTTTGGGTTGGTTGGTTTTTTTTGTTTGTGTGGTTGGTTTTTGGTGGGGTTTGGTTTGGTTTTTGTTGTGTTTGTAGTTGGTGGGGGGGGGTGTGGGGGTGGGTGGGTGGGTGGTTTTGTTTGTTTTGGTTGGTTGTGTGGGGTGGTGGTTGTGTTGGTGGGGGGGGTTGGGGGTGTGTTGGTTGTGTGGGGTTTGTGTTTAGGGTGGGGGTGTGTGTGTGTGGGGTGGGGGTGGGGTTGTTGGTGTTGTGTTGTTGGTGGTGTTGGTGGGTGGGTGTTTTTGTGTGTTTGGGGTGGTTTAGGGGTGGTGGTGTTTGGTGGGGGGGTGTGGGGGTTTTGTGGGTGGTTGTTTGTAGGTGGGGTTGTGTTGGGTGTTGGTGGGTTTTGGTTTGGGTTGTGTTGTTTGTTTTTGTGGAGTGGGTTGGGGTTGGTTTGGTTGTGGTTTTTGGGGTTGTGTGTTTGTTGGTTTTGTGGGGGTTGTGGTGGGGGTGGGTGGGTGGGTTGGTTGGTTGGGGGTTTTGGGGGGGTGGGGGTGTGTTGGTGGTGGTGTTTGTGGGTTTGTTGGGTTTTGTTTTGTGTGTGGTGGGGGGGGGGTGTGTTTGGGGTGGGGGGTGGTGGGTTTTTGGTTGGTGGGTTGGTGTGGTGTTGTGTTTTTGTGTGGGGTTTTTGTTGTGGGTTTTTGTGTTGGTTTGGGGGGGGTTTGGGTTTAGTATTTGTAGTGTTTTGTTGGGTATTTGGTTTGGGTTTTGTTTTTTTGGGGGGTGGGTTATTTTGTTTTTTTGGTTTTTGTTGGTGGGTGTTTTATGTTTTTTTTGTTTTTTGGTGGGGGGTGTTTTTGTTTGGTTGGGGTTGGGTTTAGTTGGTGTTTAGGTGTGTTGTTTGAGGTTGTGTTTTTGGGGGGGTTTGTTTGTTTTTGTGGGGGTTTTTGTTTGGATGTTTGGTTTTTTTGGATGGTTGTTTGGGTTTTTGGGGTGGGAGTGGGTTGGGGGGGTTGTGTTTGGGTAGGTTGGGGGGTTTTTGGTGGTTGTGGGGGGTATTTTAGTGTTATGTTGGATTGGGGGGTTTGTGTGGGGGGTATTTTAGGGTGTGGTTTGTTTATTTTTGGTATTGTTTATTTATGTGTAATTGTGGGTGGTATGGGATGGGGGTATTTTTTTTATGGTGTGGGGGGTGGTTTGGGATTGTTGTGATTTTTTAGTTTTGTGTGTATTGAGTTGTATTTGGGGGGGTTTTTTAAAGGTGTTTGTTTATTTAGGTTGTTGGTATTTGATAGGTTGGGGATATTTGTAGAGTGTTGTTTTGTGTTGGGGAGGTTTGTTGTTTGGGGGGTAGTTAGGTTTTTGTTGGGGTGGTTTGTGTGGGGTGGGGGGGTGGGTGTTTGTTTGTTGGTTTAGTTTATTGGTGTTTTGGGGTTTGGTGGGTTTGGTTGTGGGATGGATTGGATGGGTTGGGATTTAGGTTTGTTGTGTTGGGGGGGATGTTGGGAGGGGTTGGTTATTTTATAAGGTTGGGTGTGTTGGTTGGGTTAGTTGGTAATGTGTTAATGGATGGGTTTGTGTGATAATTTAGATTTGTTTATTTGGGAGGTGATGGTTTGGTAGTGATTTTAATTTGTTTAGGTTATGTTTTGGGGGGGTTTTTTTGGTTTTTTTGTTTATTTGGTTTGATTTGTGGAGTTTGGGTTGGTAGGTGGAATTGGGGATGATTTTGAGAAATGGGGGGGGGAGGTTGGGTTAGAATTGGGGGGTGGTTGAATTGGGTTGAGTTGTAGATTTGGATGATTGGGGGGAGATGATTGGGGTGTAGGGGGTTTTTTAGTGATGGGGGGGTATGTGGGTTGTTTAGTGTATTTTGTTTTGTTTTTATGTGGGTTATGTGGTGTTGGGTTGGTTGTAGTGGGTGTTGTTTTTGGGAAGGTGGGGGGTTGTTTGTTGGTGTGTTAGGTTGTAGTTAGTGTGGGTTGGTGGGTTGGGGGGTTGTTTTGGGGTGGTTGGTTTTATGTATTTTGTAATAGGGGTGTAAGGGTTTTTTATTAGGTTTGTTTGTTTGGGTGTTAGGTTGGTTGGGGGTGGGGGTAGGAGAAGGTTATGTTTTTGGGTTGTGTTGTTGGGGGTTTGGGGTTGGTTTTTGGTGGTGGATTTGGGGGTTGTAATTTTGGGGGTTGTTTGGTTGTTGGTTTGTTGTTTGGGGGGGTTTTTTTGTTTGGGATTTTTGGGTTTGGTTTGTGTTGTTGGGGATTGGATAGTATTGTTGGTGTATGTATGTGGGTTTTTGGGTGTTTGTGGGTGTTTTTTTGTGGGGTGTTGGTTTATGGTTTTTGTGGGGGTTTTTTTGTGGGGGGGGGGGGAGGGGGGTAGGTTGTTTGTGGTTTTTTTGTGGGTGGTTTTTTTTTTTGTGTGGGGGTTGGGGGTTTGTTGTTTATAGGAGGTTTTGTGGTTGGTGTGGTTTTGGTGTGGTTTTGTTGTTTATTGGTTTTGTGAGTTTGTAATTGGGTTTGTTTTTTAGGTTTATATTTTTTGGTAGATGGTGGTGTTGTTGGTGTGTGGGGGTTTGTGGTTTTTTTTTTGTGGTTTGGGGGTTTGGGGTGGGGGTTGTTTGTGTAAGTGTAGGTTTTAGGGGGGATGTTGATTTTTGTGGTGGTTATGTAATGTTGTGTATTTGTGTTTTTTTTATATTGTTATTGTATTGTTGGATAGGGTTGGGGGTGAGGTTGTTTTATTTAGAATTTTGGATTTTGTAGGGTTTGGGTTGTGGTATTGTTTTATAATGAGTGTGGTTAGGGAGTTTTGGTGTGGTGGGGGTTGGGGTGTTTTTAGATGAGTTATTTGTGTTGGAGTATGTTGTTGGGGGGGTTTATTGTTTTGTGTTTTGGGGGGGTGTGGGGATTTTGTGGTTGTGTTTGTTTGTTTTTTTTTTATTGTTTGATTTTTTTGTGTATGATGTAAGTTGGATTTTATGTTTAATGTGGGTGGTTATTGATGTATTTTTTGGTGTTTTTTTTTGTTTTGGTTTAGTTTGAGTTAGTTTGGTGTTTGGTGTTTGATTTTTTTGTTGTTTATGGGGGTGTTTTTTGGTTTGGTTGTTTTTTGTGATTGGTTGTGGTTTTTTGTGTTTTTTTTTATGGTTTGGTGGTGGTTTATGTTTGGTTGTGGGTTGGTTTGATTGGGGTGGGGGGTGGGGGGTTATGTTTTTTATATAGGTATGTTTTTAGGTGTGTTTTGGTGGTTGGGTTTTGGTTTTTTGAATTGTTGTGGGTGATTTGGTTTATTTGGGGGTGGTTTTTTGTGTGTGGTTTTGGGATTGTGGTTTTAGTGGGGGGTTGTTGGGGTGGGTGTGGGGGTGGTTGTGTTTGGGATTGTGGATGTTTTGTTGGGTTGGGTGTATTTTTGGGGTGGGGGTGGGAGATTTTTTGGTGGTATGGTTTGTTTGTTTTTGGGTTTTGGAGGGGGTGGTTGTTGGGTGGTTGTGGGGGTGTGGGGTTGTGTTGGTGGTGGGGGGGTTTTTTGTTGGGTTTTGTGGTGGTTGGGGTTTGTGTTTGGTTGTGGGTTTGGGGTTTGGTGGTGGTTATTGGATTGTGTTTTTGGGGGTTTTTGGGGTTTTTGGGTTGGTTTGGTTTTTTTGGGTGTTTGTTTTTTGTTGTGTGGTTTTGGTTTTTTTTGGTTTGTTTTTTTGGTTGGTTGTGTTTTTGGTTGGTTGGATGGAGTGTTTTGTGGTTTTGTTTTTGTATGTTGTGGTGTTTGGTTAATTTTGATTTGGTGATTGTAGGTTGTTTATGGTGGTGGTGTGTGAAGGGTTTTGTGATGGTATTTTGGGGTTGATTTGATTATTGAATTTTAATAATGTTATGGGGGTGGTTGGGATATGTTGTTAGAGTTTGTGGGGGGGGGGGGGAGGGGTATGTGGGGTGTTTGGGTATAGGATTTTTTGTTGAGGTTGTGTGGGGATGTTTTGATGGTTGATGGGGGGGGAGGTGGGTGTATGGAGTAGGGAGTTTTATTTGGAGAATTGTATTGAATGTGTTATTGTTAGGAGGGTGGTGATATGGAATTGGTTATGGGAGGGATGAGGGGGAGGATGAGGGAAATTGGGATTTGTATAGGGTTGGATGATATGGAGATGTGTTTGATATGGTAATATGGGGTATGATGGATTATATGTTGGTGGGGGTGATGGGGGATGTGTGAGATTGGTTTGTTAAGTGGAGATGAGATTAGTTGGATTTGGTGGGAAGATGGGAATGATGTTTTTGGTGGGAGTGTAATGGGGAATGGAAGGAAGAAGGTAGGAGAATGAATTTATGAGATGTGATAGGAAAGGATTGAGATGTTTGGGGGTGTGTGTTTTTATATTTTTAATAAAGGGTGGGTTGGGGGTATAGGTTTTTGGGGGAGGTGAGATTTTAGTAGGGTGGTTAATGTTTTTGTATGGGGGAGGTATAGGGTAGGGGTGGGATAGGGAGTGAGGGAAATTTTTTAGTAATGGATTTTATTATTTGGATATTTTTTTGAGGAATGGTAGATAATGATTTATAGGGTATATTGTAGGGGGAAGGATAGGGGAAGAGTGTAGTTGGGGAAGGGTGTGGGGGAGGGTATGGGATGTGATTTTGGAATTATTGTTTTTTTTTTTTTTTGTTGTTTTGATGGTGGGTGGTTTTGGATTGGGGATGTTTGGGGGATTGTGTTTTTGGGTGTGGGATATTTTATGGATTGGGGGGTTGTTTTTTTATTGGGTGGGGGTTATATGGTGTATTATTTTTAAGGTTGGAAGGGGTATTTTATTTTTTGTTATGGTTTTAATTATTTTGATGGTTTGTGTATATTTGTTTTTGTTGTGTGGATGGTGTGAGAGGGGATATGTGTTGAAGGGGGATTGAATTTGGATGTATTGGGGTGTGGGGTGGTGATAAGGGGAGGTTGTGGGGATTGAATTGGGGAGGAATTAGTAATTTTTTTTGGTATTGTGAGTGGTTGAAGAAGGTGGGGATTAAGATAAATGAGATTATATTTATATGATAAATTTTTTTATATTTAATTTTTATTTTTTTTATATTTTATATAGGTTATATAATATTTTTGTATGTATATATATATATATTATAAAATTTTATATATGAATATAAATTTTGTATTATATATAATTATATTTATAGAATTTAAATATTAGATATAAAATTTTTTATATATATATATATTATAAAATTTTATATATGTATATATAAAATTTTGTATATATAAAAGATATATAGATATTAATAAAATTTATTTGTAGATATAATATTTTGTTATATATAAATTAAGGTTATAAAATTTTATATATGTGATATATAAGGTTTTGTAAATATATATATATATATATAAATTTTGATGGTTTGAATAGGGGGGGGTGGTTTAATAAAAGAAAAGTAAGAATAGGGTGGAGGGTGGTGTTGATAGGTTGTGGTGGGGATGGGGGGGGAGTGGATTTAGGGAGAGGGGAGGGTGGAGGAATTTTTAGTGGTTGGTGTTTGTTTTTTTTTTTTTTATGGAATAGGGTTTTATGTTTTTTGGTTTTGGTAATATGTGGGGTTGGGATGGGGGTGGGTGGGGGTATGGGGAGTTAGATATTATATTAGGGGGGAAGAGGGGGGGGGGGTGTAGGTTATTAGGAGTGGATAATTTTTATTTGATTTGATTTAGGAGTGGAGAGGTGAAGTATGGTGAAGAGGATGGGTTAATTTAATTAAAATATTAGTGTATATTAGTGGTTGGGATGGGTTTTTGTTGGGGGGTTGGGGGAATTTAGGATAGAGGGAAGAAGAAATATTTGATTGTATGGGGGGGGTGGTGGGTGTAGAAGGGGGATTGTTGAATTATGGGATTTGGGTGGAGTGGGTATGGGTTTTTTTTGTTTTTTGTGATTTTGGGGGGTGGGGGTTTTTTTTTTTTGGTTTTTAATTTGGTATGGGGGATTTAGGTGGGTGGTTGGTTTTGGGGTTTGGTGGGGTTATGTTGTGGGTTTGGGTGGGGGGGGTTAGTTTTGTTGGGTTTATTTGGATGGGGTGTTGGGGTGGGGGGGGGGGTGGGGGGTTGTTTTTGGTTGGGTATTTTGGGTTTTGTTGGGGGTGTTTTTTGTTTGGGTTTTTTAGGTATGTTTGTTTGTAGGGTGGGTGGGTGAGGGGTTTGGGGGGGTTTGTTGTTTGTTGTTTTGGGGTGGGTTGTTTGGGGTTTGTGAGGGTGTGTTTGGGTGAATTGGGGAGGGGGTAGGTTTATGTTGTTTTTGTTTGTGAGTGATTAGTATGGGGTGGGTGGGGGTTTATGTGTATTGTAAATTTATTAATAATGTGAAAGGGGGTGATTGTGGTTTTTTTGGGAGGAGATAGGAGGGGGAAGAGGTGATTAGTATTAGGAGGGGGGTGAGTGTTGAGATTGGTGTTGTTGGTAGAGGGGGGGGTGTGGGAAAGGGATTTATGGAGTGGGTAAGGGTGTGGGGGGGGTAGGGTATGGGGGGAGTTTTATGTAGGTGTTGGTAATTATATGGTTGTTGTGGGGAGTGTAGGGTGTTTAGGATATTGAGATAATTAATTTAGGATTTTTTTTGGGATTAGGGTGGATGTTATGTTATGGGTGGGATGTGTAGAAAAAAAGTTGTTTTTGGTTGGAAGGAGGGTTAAAATTAGAATATTTGGGAGGGTATTGAAAAGGAGTATATTATATGAAGGTTTTTTTATAGGGTGAGTTGTGTTTTTAAAAGTGGTTTGTATGATGGATAGAGGTTTTGAAGAAATAGATGTTTTTTTATGTAAAGGGGAGAGATGAGATTATGGGTGTTGTTGTAGTTTTGTTTTATTGAATGTTTGGTTGAGGGATTTGTTGGGTGATTAGTTTGGATGGTGGGATTAGGTTATTTAGAGAGAGAGAGAAGAGAAAGAAGAAATTGATAGTTTTGGTTTTTGTGATAGATTGATGGTGGGTTGGGATTATTATTGGTGTTTGTGTGAGTTGATAGGGGTAATATGGTAAAGGGTGGGTAATATGTAGGTTGTGGTTTGTTGTAAAAGAGGGAAGAGTAGGTTAAATATGTTGATGGGAGAGAGAGGGTTGATATAGATGGATTAAGTGGGGAGTAGGGTTTTGGATGTTTAGTGAAGGGGGGTTATGTGGGGGGGGTTATATGAAAGGATTGGATTGGGGTAGATTGGTAGATAATGTAAGAGAAATGTAGTTTTGGTGTGTTATGTGAGGGAGGTAAATTTATATAATAAGTATGGGAGATGTGGGGTGGATGAATTTAAAGAAATTTTATATAATAGGTAGGGGAGGGTAATAAAAGTGGAGTGGGATGGAAGGTATGTGATTGGATTGGGGAATGGTGGGGGTTGGTTGTGGGGAATTATATAGGTTTTTTGTGTTTGGTGGGGTTGAGTGTTTGGGATTATTTTGATTGGGGGGGGGTGGGTTATGGTTTGGTTGGTGGTATTGGGGGGGGGTTTTTGTATTGGTTGTTGGGGGGGGTGGGTGGGTTGGTGTTTTGTGGGGGTTGGTTTGGTTGTTTGGGATGTTTTTTATTGGGGGGTTGGTGTGGTTGGTATTTGTTTTTTTGTTTTTTGTGGGTTTTTGTTTTTGGGTTTTTGTTGTTTGTATTTGTGTTTTATTTTTAGTTTTTTTTTTTGTGGTGGTGTTTTGAGTGTTGTTGGTGTTTGTGTGTGTGAGTGGGTTTGTGAGAGTGTGTTTATTGATGTTGTGGTAGAGATGAGAGATTAGTTGAGTTTATGGTTTTTGGTTTGGGGTTTAGGTTTGGGTATGTTAGTTTGGTTTTTTGGTGGATGTTTGTTTTTGGTTGTTTTTGTTGTTGGTGGTGGATTAGGTTGTTGGGGGTTGTGGTTTTTTTTTGTAGGATTTAGGGGGTGGGGGTTTTGGGGTGGGTTTGTTGGGTGTGGGGTTTGGTTGGGTTTTTTTGTATTTGGTTTTTGTTGTTTTGGGGTGATGGTTATTTTTTTATATGGGATGTGTAAGGAGGAAATTAAATTGATTTATGAGAATTGGGTGGTGTGATTTTTGTGTGATGGATGGAGGAGTATTTAGATGTAAGTGTGTTGTTGTGTTGGTGGTAGTGGGTGGGGTGATAAGGTGTATGGGTTAGGGAATGTAGGGTTTTTTTTTTTGTTTAGGGGTTTGTTTTGTAGATGTAGTTTTAAGGAGTTTTTGTGTTATTTATGTTTTTTTTATGTATTGTTTTAATTTATTTTTAAGGGGTTTTTTTTTGTTGGAGGATTTGGTTGGGGAAGTTTATTAGATGGGTGGGGTTGAGGTATGTGGGGTTTATTAGTTTGGGTATTGAGGTTTGTGGGGTGTGGGTGGGTTTTGGTTTTTGTGGTGTTGGGTATGGGGAAGTTGGGTGTGGTTTTGTTTAGGTTTGGTGGGGGGGTTGGTTTGTTTGTTGGGGGGTTGTGGTGTTTGTGGTTTTTTTGTGGTGTGTGGGGTTGGGTGGTGGGGTGGTGTTTGGGTTGTGGTCTTTTTTTGTGGGTGGGGGGATTGGTTTGGGTTGGATTTTTTGTTTTAGTGTAGGTGGTTGTTGTGGTTGTGTTTGTTTGGGGGTGTATTTATGTTGGGGGGGGGTATGGTTTTTAGTTATTGGATATTTTTATTATTGATGTTTGGGGGGTGGTATGTGTGTTGTTTGGTATAGTTGTTGTTGGATGGGGGGTTGGTTGGGGGGGATGGGTGGGTATGTTTGAGTTTTGTGGGGTTTGGGGGGTTGTTGGTTTTGTTGGGGGTTTTTTTGGTGTTGATTATTGTATTTTGGGAATTGTTTGTTGGTTATAGATGTGATTTATGTGGTTTGTGTGGTGTTGTGGGGGGTTTGTTAATATGTTTGGGAAAGTTATTGTATTTTGGGGTTATGTTTTTTTGGGGTATTTATGTGTGTTTGTTTAAGGGGGGGGGGGGTTGGATTTGTTTGGTTTTTTGTTTGGTTTTTTGGTGATTATATTGTGTGTGTGGTTAAGTTTATGTTTTTTTTTGTATGTGGTTGAATTAGTGTGTAGGTTTTTGGGGATTTTGTTTTGGTGTGGTTATGTATTTTTTGTGGGGGGTTTTTTGTTTGTATTTGGTAGTATGTGGTGGTGTAGGGTGAGTTTGGTTGGGGTTTTATGTTGGGTTTGGTGTTTGTTTTTTTTAGTTATTTTTTTTGTTTTTTTGTTTTAGTTTTTTGTTTTTGTGGGGTATTTTGAGGTGGATTTAAGTTTTTGTTTGGATTTTTTTGGATGGGTTTTGGGTTGTTTTTGGGTTGGTTTTTTGGGGTTTTTTGTGTTGGGGGGGGGGATATTTTGTTGGGGGAGTGTTTTTTTGTTTTGGGTGGTTGGGGTGGAGATGGGGGGTTTGTGTGTAAGTGGGGGTTTGGGTGGGGTGTTGGTGGGTGTGTGTTGGTGGTTTTTTTGTGTGTGGTTGGGGGGGGGGTGTTTTGTTGGTTTTAAGTTTTTTTAAGTGGTTTTGTGTTTTGTGTTTTGTGTGTGGGTGGGGTGGTGTGTGTGGGGGTTTGGTTTTGTAGTTGTTTGTTTTTGTATTTGGGTGGTTGTGGGGGGGGTGTTTTTGGGTGGATGTAGTTTTTTAGAGGGGGTGGGGGTTTTGGGTTTGTTTTTTTGGTTTTTGGTGTTGTTTTGGTTGGGGTAGGGGGGGTTAGGGGTGTGGTGGGGTTGGGGGGGGAGGGGGGTGGTGTTGTTTGAGGGTGGTTTTGTATTGTTATTTTTTATTTGGATGGTTTGTTTTATTGATTTGAATGTGGGTATGGTTTGGATTATGTTTTTGTTGTGTGGTTGGGAGTTGGTGGGTTTGATGGGGGGGGGGTGGTGGGGTTGGTGGGTGGGGGGGGGGGGGTGGGGGTGGGGGGGTGGGGGGTGTGTGGGGGGGGGGGGGGGGGGGGGGGGGGGGGTGGGTGGGGGGGGGGGGGGGGGGGTGGGGGTTGTGGGGGGGGGTGGGGGGGGGGGTGGGGGGTGTGTGGGGGGGGGGGGGGGGGGGGGGGGGGGGTGGGGGTGTGGGGGGGGGGGGGGGGGGGGTGGGGGTGGGGGGGGGGGGGGTGGGGTGGTTTGGTTTGATTGGTGTTTGTTGTGGTTGGGGGGGGGGTGTTTTTGTTTGAGTGGTAATGTTTTTTTTTTTTTTTTTGATTTGTTGTTGTTTGTGGTTTTGGGGGGTGGTTTTTTTTTGGAGGTGGTTGTTTGTTTGTTGTTTTGTTTTTGTTTGGGTTGATGGTGGGTGTGGGGTTGTTGTGGTTGTGGGGGGGGTTGGGTGGGGTGGGGGGGGGGGGGGGGGTATTTTTTTGGTGGGGGGATTGGGGTGTTGTGGGGGTGTGTTTTGTGTTAGGTGGGGGTGTTTTTGTAGTTGGGGAGGGGGGGTTTGTATGTTAGTTTGGGTGTTTGGGTTTTGTGGGTGGTTTTGTTGGTGGTTGGGTTGGGTGGTGGGGGGGGGGGTGGTGTTTTTTTTAGGGGTGTGGGTTGTGTTTGTGTTTTGTGTTTTTTTTGTGTTATTTTTGTTTTTTTTGTGGGGGGTTTGGGGTTGTTTTGTGTTTTGTTGGGTGGGGGGGGTGGGGTGGGGTGTTGTTTTTGTGTGGGGGGGGGGGTTTTTTTGGTTGATTTGTGTGGGTTTGAAGTTTTGGGTTGGGTTTTGTTGTTTTTGTGGGGGTGGTTGTTGAGTGGGGTTGTGGGTTTTTGTGTGTTGGGGGGGGGGGTGTGGGGTGTTTTTTGTGGTGTTGGTTTTATGGTTTTGGTGGGGGTGTGGTATTTGTTTGTTTGTTTAGGGTGGGTGTTTTTGTTGGGGTTGGGGTGTGTTTTTGTGGTGGTTGTGTTGTTGTTTGTTGGGTGGGGGTTTGTTTGTGTTTGGGGGGTGTTTGTTTGTGTTTTTTTGTTGGTTGGGGTTGTTGTGTTTTTGGGTTTGGTGTGTGTTTTTTGGTATTGATGGTTTTTTGGGTTTTTTTTTGAGTTTTTTTTTTTGGGTGTTGTGGTTGTTTTTGTTGTTATTTGGTGTTGGTGAGGTGGTATGGGGGTTGTGGGGGTTTAGTATTTGGGTGTTTTTGGTTTTTTTTATTTGCGTAGGTTTTTGGGTGGTTAGTTGTGATTGGGGTTGGTTTGGGATGAAAATGTGGGTTGTAATGTTTATTTGTGTGGATTAGTGGATAGGGTAAAGTTGAAATTGGGTAGGGGGGAGGTAGGGGTGGGGGGTTGGTTTTGGGGGTGGTTGTTGGGTTTTTTTTGTGTTTGTTTTGGGGGGGTGGTTGTGGTTTGGGTATGGGGTGGTTGGTTTTGTGTTTTGTGGGGTATGGGTGTGTGGGTAGTGTTGTGTTTGGGGTTGGGTGTTGTAGGTGTTGTGGTGTTGGGTTTGTTTTTGTTGGGGTTGGGTGATGTGGGTGGTTTGGGGTGTTTGGTATTTTGTTGGGGTTGTGTTTTATATTTTGGGATGTTTTGGGTTGTTGTGTGTTTGTAGTGTTGTGTTGTTGTTTGTTGTTGTGTTTGGGGTTTGGGTTGGGGGGGGTGTTTTGTTTTTATGTGTGTAGTTGTGTTATGGGGGGGTTGGGGTGTTTTTTGTTTTTTTTTTGTATTTGATTTAGATGTGTTGGTTTTGGGGTGGTTTTGTTTTGGAGAGTTTTGGGGGGTGTTTGTATTTTGGGTGGTTGTGAGGTTGGGTAGGTTGTTTTGTTTTTGATGGTGTGTTTTGGGTTGGTTAGTGGGTTTGTGTTGGGGGTTTTTTTTTATGATGAAGGTTGGTTTTTTGTTGGTGTGGTGTGGGGTGTAGATTGTTGGGGTGTTGGGGGTTGTAATGTGGGGGGGTTATTTTATGGGGAGGTGTGGATGTTTTTTTGTGTTGTTATTTTTTGGTGTGAGGGATTTTTAGGTGGGTAGTGGGTTTTTTTTTGGTTAGGGGGTGGGGGGGTGGGTGTTTGGTTTAGTGTGGGTGGTTTGGTAGTGGGTGTTTTGGGTGTGTTGGGTGGTTTGTTTGGTGTTGGGTGGTGTTTTTTTGTGGTGGTTTGGGGGTTATTTTGTGTGTTGGTGGTTTTTTGTGTTTGATTGGTGGGGTTTTTGTGGTTGGTGTGGGGGTTAGGGTTGTGGATGATTGGTGTTATTTGTGTGTGTAAGTGTGAGTGGTTTAGTTTAGATGTGTTGTTAGTTTGTGTTTGATTGGTGTATTTATGGTGGATGTTTTGTATGTTGGGTTTTTGTTTTTGATGGGTTGAGTTTTGTTATTGGGGTTTTTGTGTGTGATGTGGTTGTTTGTGTTGAAAGAGTGTTTGGGATGTATAGGGTTTTTTTGAGGTATAAGGGAGGGTAGGAGAGGTGGTTGTGTAGTTTATAAGGGGGGTGGGGTGGGTGGGGGGGGGGTTGAAAGTTGGGATTGGTTGTTGATGGGGGTAAAGGAGAGTTATTTTGGGGTTGGTGTGGTGGTGGGTTTTGTGTTGGATTTTGGGATTGTGGGGGGGGTTGGAATAGATTTTTGGTTGAATTGTGTTGTTTTTGTATGGTGGGGGATTGGGGTGGTTTGGTTGGTGGGGGGGGGGGTTAGTTTTGATGGTTATGTGTAGGTTGTTTGTGGTTGTGTTGTAGGGTGTAAATTGTGTGATGGTGTGATTTTTTGGGATTTGTGTTGGGGGGGGGTTTGGTGAGTTTGGGGTGGGTGTTGTTGTGTTGTTGGTTAATTTTTTTTAGGGGGTAAGGTTTTGTGGGGTTGAGTATTGGATTGGGTTTTTAGTGGAGGGGGGTGGATAATTGTGGTGTTTTGAGGATGTATGTAGGTAGGTGTGTGGATTGGGGATGTGGGTAGTGATATTTGTAGGTGGATTGGGGGGTTTTTGGGGATATGGGGTTGTGGGTGGGGGATTTTGGAGGTGGTTGTGGGGGGGGTTGGTTTTGTTATTTGGGGGGTGGGTTTTGGTGTTAGTTTGTGTGGGGGTTTTAATGGTTTTGGTTGGATTGTTGGTAGGTTGGTTTGTGTTTTATTTTAGTTTTTTTTGTTTGTTTTATGGTTATTTGTTGGTTGTGGGTGGGGAGTTGGTTATTTTTGTGGGGGGTGTGTGGGGTTGGTTGTTGTATGGGGGGGGGTGGAGATTTGTTGTGTTGGGTGATGGTAGTTGGTTGAGTTATATGGGAATTTTTTTTTTTGGGTGGGTTGTTGTTTGTTTAGTGGTTGTGTTTGGTGTTTATTGTGGGGTTGTGATTTTTTTTTATTTAAGTTTATTATTTGTTTTGATGGGGGGGTATTTTTTGTTTTTGGTTATTTATTTGTATTGTTATGGGATGTATGGTTGGTGTTTTTGTTGTATTTTTGGGTATGGTTTTAGTATATTTGGTTTTTGTATTGTTTTGTTTGGGTTTGGGGGGGGTTTAGTGATGTGGGTTGGGGGGGTGAGTGGTTGTTTGGGGTGGTTGTTGTGGGGGGGGGGTGTGGTTGTTGGGTTTGTTTTTGGGGGGTTTGGGGGGTGTGGTGGGTTTTTTGGTTGTTTTGGTGTTTGTTGGGTGTGGGTTTTTGGGTTGGGGGGTTGTTTTGTGTATTTTGGTGTGGTGTGTGGGTTGGTGTGGGTTTGTTTGGTGTTTTTGGTTAGGGGGTTGTTTGTTGGGGGGTGTATGTTTGGTTTGGTGTTTGTTTAGGGGGGTATTATTAGGGTTTTTTTGGATTTTTTTTTTGTGGAGTTTTGGGGTTGAGTATGTTTTTTGGTGTTGGTTTAAGATTAGATATGTTTGTAGTGTTGTTTTTTATGGGTTGGTGTGTTAGGTTTATGAAGTTGTGGTGGGGGTGGGTTTTATGATGGGGTTTTGTTGAAGGGTTGGTGTGGGTTTAATTGGGTAAGGGAGGGGTTGTTGAGTGGGTTTAATGATTTATTAGATTGGTGGGGGGGGTTTTTGTTTGGGTTGATAGGAGTGATGTGGAGGGTGTGGGAGGGAGGGGGTGGGTTGTAAGTATGAGAGTTTTTTTGTGGAGTTTAATAATTTAAGATAAGAGATGTGGGTTTAAAGTTGATGGAGGATGAAATTTAGGTATTATGGGGTAGAGGTTTTTATATATATTGATTATGTTTAATTGATTATGAGAAGGATTGGGGATGGTTTTTGGTATGAAAGAGGTTGGAGGTGAGTGGTAGAGGGTTTTTTGGAGGAGTAGGTTAGAAGAATGAAGTGGTGGAAGAAGAGAGGGGGTTGTTTAGGTTTGATTTATAATAGTTTTAATTTGAAGTGGGAAGTGGTTTTTTGTTGTGTGAGGGTGTGGGTTGTTATTTTTTTGGGATTATTTAAGAGGGTATGAGTTTTATTTGTGATATGTTTTAGGATTATAGGGTTTAAGTGGGAATTTTAATATGATTGGTTTATAGATTAGAGTTTGGTTTGAGTTTTTGTGTTGGGTTTGTGTGGTGTGGTTGTGTTGTGTTATGTGGTTTTTGGTGTGTGTTTTTTTGAGTAGGGGTGGGGTTATGTGTAGGGTGGGTGTTATGGGTGTTGTGTAATTTTTTTTGTGTAGGGTGTAGATATGTTTTGGGGGGGGTGGTTGTGATGTGTATATGTGTATATGATTTTATATGAGGGTTGGATAGTTAAGTTGTATTGTTTTGGGTGGTTTTGTTTTTTTTATTTTTTATGTGATGTTTGTGAGTGGGAAGTTGTTAATGTTGTATTGTAGGTTAAAGGGTATATTTTGTATGTGGTTGTGTGGGGGTTAGTTTTGGATGTGGGTTTTTGATGGGGTTTTTTGGGTGGGAAGATTAGTGGGAGTTGATTAGGGGGTTATTTTATGTTGGTGTTGGTGGTGGTTTTGGTGTAGAGTTTTGTTTTTATATTGAGGGTTGTTTGGATGTAGTGGTAGTTTTTAATAGTGTATTGGAGGAGAGATGGAAATTAGAATATAATAGAAAATGGAGATGTTATATGTTTTTATAGTGGGAATAGATGGAAAGAGAATGGTAAGGGGATATTGGTTATTTGTTTAGAGTGATTTTATTATGATAATGAAATATAAAATATTTTTTTTATGAAAAAAGTTAAAGAGATGAAAAGAAAAAGGGTGATTAGAAGAATATTTTTTGATAGAAAGAGGGTATAAATAAATGTAGAAGGAGAATATTTAGTTGGGAAGGAAGATGTAAATATAGGGGTGGGAGTTTAGAAGAGGGTTTGAGGGATGGTTTAATTGTTGTGATTTGGGGTTGTGGGTTGGGGGATTTTTGTTAAGGAGAAAGAGGAAATTTATATTGTTTGATTTAGTAGGGTGTGGTTATGGTTTAGGTGGATATATGGTGTATATATATATATATATAGATATATATATATATTGTTTATATATTAAGAGATATATGTTATATATTTATATGTAGGTATGTATATATATAATATTTATATGTATTAATTTGTATATATATTTAGATATTAGAATATGAGGGAGATTTGTTAGTTAGGATTGTATATTAGGATAGATATATTATTTGAATGTATAAGTGTGTAATATGTATATAAATTAAAAAAATTAAAAGTTTAGTGTGAATGTGAGGGGATTGGGGATAATGGGGGGGGGGAAATGGTGAGAATGGGGTTTAAAAGAATGTTTTTTTTGATTGTTTTTGATTTTGGAGATGGTTTTTTGTTTAAAAGAGGGGGGAGAAAGGAGAGGATTTATGTGTAATAAGGGGGAAGGGGTTTAGTAATAGGTTAGTGGGAAAAAAGTTATATTTATAAAATATAGTTTAGATGGGTTGTTTGTGGGAAATTATTTTTGTTTTTGGGGGAGTTTTGGGGGAGATAGGGAGTGGATATGTGGGATGGTAGATGAAGGAGGAGAGAGTGTGTAGGATTGAGGTTGGATTATGATTGATTAGGATGAGTTTGATATAGATTTAGTGGAGGGGGGTATTTTTTGGGGTTGGGGGTATTGGGTGTGTTTGTTAGGTTAGGGTATATTGGAGGTATTATATATTATTGGTGTGGTTGTGTATGGTAGATGTTTTTTTGTAATGGAGGTTGGTTGTAGGTTGGATGGTATGAGTGGGTTTGTGTTGTGTTGGAAGTGATTTAGTGTGTGATTGAATTTGGGGTTATGGGGGGGATAGAATGGTATTTAAGGGTGAGGTTTTATGATAGTGTGGTGGGAGGGGGTGGTTATGGTGTGGGTATGATTAATTGTTTTTGTTTTGTTGTTGTTGTGTGGTTGTGGTATTTTTGTGGGGTGGGGGGGGTGGGGTTGATTGTTTATATGTTAATAATTGGGGTAGATTTTTGTAGTTTGGGAAGAAGGGGGGGATTTGGATGTTGTTGGGTTGTTGTTAGTATGATAGGTGGTTTGTGGGAGGGATTTTGGGGATTTAGGGGGGATAATTATGTGTAATTTAGGGGGGAGGGGGGGGTTGATGTTTTGATGGGTATGTGGGTTTTGGAGTGTTGGGGGGGGAGGGGGGGGTTGTGTTGGGGAGGGGTTGATTTTATGATAATTTTGTTGTGGGGGGTGTATGTTTGGGGTTTGGTTTTTTGTATGGGTTTAGTTGTGGGGGTAAGGTTTGGTGGGTGAGGGTTTTGTGTGTTTATGAATGGTTTATGGTAATTATGAGATTGGTGTTGTTTTTTTGTGATGGTTATTGGATGTTTGTTTTTGTTTGGGTTGGTGTTGTTTTAGGTGGTTGTTGGGGGGTGTGTTGTGGGTTTGTTTGTTGGGGGGTTTGTGGTGTTGTTAGGTTATTATGGTGTATAAGAGTTGGTGATTATTGAATAATTTTTGGATAGTTTATGGTGGTTGGTTGTTATTATTTTGTATTTTAGTGAGGTTGTGTGTTTGTTGTTTTTTAGTTTGGGGTTTATTTTTGGTTTTTATGGAGGGTGGTTGGTGTTATATGTTAGTTGGGTTGGTGTGGAGTTAGGGATTGGGGTATGATTTGTTTTGAGTTTTGGATAATGTTTTTTGGTTGATGTGTGGGGTTTTGTGATTATTTGAGGTGTGTTTTAAGGTATGTTTGGGGGTGTTGTGGTATGTTTTTGGTTATTGATTTTTTTTGTTTGGGGTTTTGTTGTTGTGTGGGTGGGGGTTGAATTAGGGGTTTGTGTTATTTGGGGGGGGGGAAATGATTTAATTGGGGGAATTGGTATGTTGATAAGTGGTGGGGTGGTAATGGTGGGTTTTAGTGAGGTTTGAGAGGAAAATGAATAAAGTGTGGATTATGATGGAATGAAATATTTTTATTATTTGGATGGGTGGTGTAGAGGTTGTGGTTTTATTTTGTGGATGTTTGTGGTTTGGGATTTGAATGTGGGGGAATTTATAGTTATTTGGAGTTTTAAGGGGTTATGTTTGTAGGTTATTTGAAATGGTAATTATAATATGGATTGATAGTGGGATGGATGGTAGTGGGTATGGGGGGTGGGGGGGGTGTTGAATGATATAAATTTTTAAGGAATATATTTATGGTTTGTATAGATTTTAATTGGGAATAAGGGGGGTGGGGGTTTTTGGTGTTGGGAGGGTTATTTGTGTTAATGTTGGTGATTTGTTGGGTTTTGGGGTTTTTTATGGTGGTTTGTGTTTTGGTGGTTGTGTTTAGGGGGGGGTTTTTTGTGGTTTGGTTTTAGGTAATGTGTTTTTGTTTTTTTGGGGTGTGTAGGTTTTATGGTTTTGTATGTATATTTTGTTAGTGGAGTTTTTTGTTTGTGTTGGTTGTGGTGGGTGTGTTTTGGTGGTTTTTTATTTTATTTTTATTTTGGTTAGGGTGGGAAAAGTTTTTTGGGGAATAAATGGGTAAATGTAAGTGGTATGGTTGGGGAGGTTGTTGTGTTTAGTAGTTTAATGTGATTTGTGAGTTTTAGAAGGGAGTTTTGGGTGAGTGGGGTATGTGGGGGTGGTGTGGGGGTGGGGTTTGTTTGTAAATTTTTTTAGTAATGTTTTTTATTAGATAATTGATTTTTAAAATGTATGTTGTGGAAATTAAATGAAGTTTGTAGTAGTGTATTTGTTTTTGGGGTTTTTTATATTTTTATGTTAATTGATATTATGATTTTTTGATTTGTGTTTGGTAGGGGTAGTGGGGAGTTGGATGTTGGGAGTATTGGGTTGGGGGGGTGGGGGGTGTGGGGATGGGGTTTTTGAGGTTTATTTGGTGGGGTGGGGTTTGGTAATTTATGAGTTAAAATTGATTGTGGTGGTGTTTTGTGGTTTTTGTAATTGAGTTTAGGATATGTGGTTAGTTGTTTGGTGTTTGTTGGGGTAATTAGAGAATGGAGTATGTGGGGTTGAAATAGTTGTAGAAAGGGGGGGGTAGGTTTATAGGTTATAAGTAGGGGAAATTTGAGTAATAGGTTTTGATTATGAGATAATAATGATTATGAAGAGAGATAGGTAGATAATATGATTGATGGTGAGGGGGGAGTGTTTGGGATGTGAGGTAGATTAATAAGTAAATTTTGGTGGTTTGGTTTTTGTGGGTGGTGTGGTTGAATTTTTGTGGTTTATAGTGAGGGGGTTGTGGTTTTTTGTATATTATAAGGGGTAGAGGTTGTGGGAGGTAGTTTTGTGTTTTTTTGTTAATTGTATGTGTAAAGAAGTTGATATAGAGGTGTTTGGTTTTTTTGAATATATGGGTGTTTAGGGAAGGATTTGGTATTGTTATGGGTATTAAGTTTATTGATATGTATATATATTGAGGGTTGGTTATGTTAATGGGAAATTAGTAGGGAGGGTAAATGTTTAAAAAGAGAGTTTAAATTGGTTAGATGGATAGGGAGGATAGGAGGGGTATTGTATTAGGGGATGGTGGGGTTGGTTTAGGTTATATATATATTATATATATATATTTTTAGGTTTGGGGTGTAGAAGGAGGGAGAAAGAGAGAGAGGGGGGGGGGGGGGGGGGGAAAGTGATTTGGATGTTGAAGTTTTGTTAATGTTATGTGTTAGGGATTGGGATTTATTTTGTTAATGGGGAAGATGGGTTGATTAAGATATTTTATTGAATTTGATTTGGTTTGGTATAGATTTTTTTGTTTTTAAGTTTTTTTTTTGATGTTTGGTTGGTTTAGGAGGTTTTATGGGGAGGGGGTTGGATAGGGTAGGAATTGGAGGAAGTAGTATTAGTGGTTTTAGGGGGTTGGGGGTATTGTATAATAGGTTGGATAGGGATGTTTTATTGGTGGGAATAATTTTTTTGTGGGGTTTTTTATGGATTTTGTGTAGGTGTTTGAGTTGAGGAAAATGGGAGATGGGAATGTTGGGGGGAGGGTTGTGGGGATTTTGGTGTGGTTTTTTTTGTGGGAGTGTGTTGGTAATTAGTTGTGTTTAGTAGGGGAATATGGGGTGTTGTTTAGTTTTATGTTTATATGGGGAAGATGGAATGTGGTTTAGGTGTAATTGGGTAGTTTTTTTGGGGGGGGGGGGGTATTTTGTATTTTAAATTTTAATGTGGTGTGGGAATTTATTGGGTAGATTTTATTTGGTGGGGATAATTAGTGGTAATGTTGATTGGTAGTGTTAGGTTTGGTAATTGGGGGGGGGAGGGTGTTGTTTTGATGTGTTGTGAGTTGGTGGGTTGGATTGGGGGGTATTGAGGAATTATAGTTGTTGATGTTTAGGTTGTTTTTGGTTGTGGTTTATGTGAAGGGAGTTGAGTTTTGGGGTGTTTATTGTTGTTGGGTGGTGGGTGTTTTTTTTTGGTGGTTTTTTTTGTTTTTTATTTGGTATTAGTATTATTGTTAATTATGTGAGGTTGGTTGTTTGTTTGTGGGTTGTGGGTTGATTTTTTGGGGTTTTTGTGTGTGTTTTGGGTGTATGTTTTGGTGTTTTTTTTGGGGGTGTTTGTTTTTTGGTTGGTTTTTTTTTGTTGGGGTGGGGGGGGGTTTTTTGGGTTTTTGTTGGATGGGTTTTGTTGTTTGGTGTTTGTGGTGTGGGTATTTTTGGGGGGGGGGGGGGGGGGGTTTTTGTTTTGTTGGGGGTGGTTGGGGGTTTTTTTAGTTGGGGTGTGTTTTTTGTGTTTTGTTGTTATTTTTGGTTTTTTGGGTGTGTTTGTTTTGGGGGTGTTTTTGTTGTGTGATGGGGGGGGGGATGTGTTTTATTTTTTGAGTTTTGTATTGTTTTTTGGGTGTTGTGTGGGTTTTTGTTTGGGTGGGGTGATGGTTTGTTATGTGGTGTGTTTTGTTGTTTGTGTGGGGTTGGTTTTGTTGTTTTTTTAGGGTAGGTTAGGGTTTTTGTTGGGTGTTTTATTTGGGGGGTTGGGGTGTTTTTTAGTGGTTGGTGGGTTTGTGTTGGTTTGTGTGTTTGTTGATGTGGTGTGTTTGGATTTTTGATTTTGTTGAGGGGGGGGTTGGTTGTTTGTTTTATAGTATTTTGGTGGGGTTTTTTGGGGTGGGGGGGTTTTTTTTTTTTTTTTTGGTAGGGGTATTTTGTTGGGTTGTTTTTGAGGGTGGGATGGGTGGGTGTGGTTGGGTGGGTGAGTTGGGGTTGGGTTTAGGTATTTTTTGGAGTTTTGTTATTGGGGGGTGTTTTTGGTTTGTGGTATTGTGGTGTTGGAGGTTTTTATTGTTATTTTGGTGTTTTGGGATGTGAGTAGGGTTTTTGTGTTTTTGATGTGGGGTTTTTTGTGTTGTTTGGGTGGGTGTGGGGTGTGTGTTTTTGGTTGGTGTTTTTTTTTTGGTATTTAGTTTGTGGGGGGTTTAGGTTGGGGTTTTGGGTGTTTGTTGTGGGTGTTTTGGGGTTGTTTTGTTGGGGGGTTGGTTGTGGTTGGTTTTTTGGTTTTGGGTTTGTTGTTGGGTTTTGGGTTGGTGGGTGGGTGTTTTTTGTGGGGGGTGGTTGGTGGGGTGTTTGGGTGTGGGGTTTTGTGGGTTTTGTTGTTTTGGTGGGGTTTTTGGGTGTGGGTTGTGGTTTGTGGGGTTATTTGTGGTGTTTGTGGGTGTTTTTTGGGGGGGGTGGGTGTGTTTTGGTTTTGGGGGGGTTGTGGGGGGTTTTGTTTTTTTGGTTGGGTGGGTGGTGGGATTGGTTTGTTGGGGTTTGTTTTGATGTTAGTGTTATGGAGGTTTTGTTGGGGGGTTGGGGTGTGATGTTTTTTTTTGTGTTGGTTTTGTTAGGTTTTTTTTGTTGTTTTTATATTGTGTGAATTTTTTGATTTTTTTTGTGTTTTTTTTTTTGTAGTTTTTTTGTTTGGGGTTATTTGGTTGGGTGTGTTTTTGGTTGTTTTTGGGTGTTTGGTGGGTGTTTTTATTGGGGGTAAGGGTGTTTTTGGGGTTGTGTTTGTTGTTGGTGTGTTTTGGGGTGGGGGTTTGATTTTGTTTATTTTTTTTTCCATGATCGGCTGTGATAGTTCGAGAAGTCTCTGCCTACATCCCCCAGAATGCCGTGCTAGTTAAACTATCGAACATTCTATCGACCCTGTTTTCTATTGATATCGAACACGTGTCTATCGCGATATAAATCGTTTTCGTTTTATCGCCCAGCGCTACTGCCTTGTCCTTGCTTTGTCTATTTTCTTGTGTTTGATTCATCTTCCTGTATCTTCTATTGTAATTATTTTGACTTTGTTTTCTTATGACTGTTATTATTATTATTGTTTATTTATGCTGACTGTGCAGCGCTTTGTAAACATTGTTTTTGAAAAATGCTGTACAAATAAAGATTTATTATTATTTATTTGTATATAAAAAAGTGGATTGGAATGGATTGGATTGAAATTCAGGGAAACAATGAAATTCAAAAATCCAGACCAAAAAACAAGGACTATACACTCCTTAGACCGGTGTGTGTCAAACCCGTCCTCAAAGGGGACTAGAGATTTCCTCAAGTCTTCACCCATTTGCTCTGGTGTGTCCAGTTTTGACCTAAAGTCTAGTGTTCTCCTGCTTGGTTGGAACTAAAACTCACAACCACTGCCCTTTGAGAACCGGTTTGACACCTGTGCCTTAGTCCTTCCGTGCCGATGCCAGGTTATTATTACTACTGCGTCTTCTGTGTTTCAACTGTTTGATTCTCAGATCTTTTGTTGGTGAATCAACAACTTTGTAAAATCCTCCGAGTCGACAATTGCAGCTGTGATTCAGGGCAATACAAAAATAAACTAAATTGATGATTCTTTTCAGTTGTGACAGGCTAAATGAGGGCACATGTTAAAACCAAATTGTGCCAAAAGCTCCTATTAGCGTAGATGGAGCTAAAACAACGTCAGGTGTTTGTTTTTAATGAGGGAACAAAATTGTAACATGCTAACAGGAAAAAAGGAAGGGAAAAATAGTTTGCCAGACGGTAATATGTAGATTTTTTAACCTCGCCAGTCCTTAATGCTGACCTGAACTCACATTTTCTACATTTTGTATGAAAGAGTAGCTGGCTGATTAGGAGCCCGAATCTGGACACTCTTTACTCCTTGGCAGAGACATCACTTACAATCTGCCAGATATCTGTAATTAATTACTATGAAGCGAATGGTGCGATGTTATCGTCAGAGAAAGTGGGAAAAGAAGGTGTTGGAAGGACTTCATCAGCTCCTGTTAATGCATTGTCAGGAGCCTCTAATGAGCTGAGGAATGTATTCTCTGGCCGGCTGAACGCAAACATGCAAAACTGGTTGGGTAAAAGCAGCCCTCTTGTCTCTGACCAGGACATCTTTTAAAAAAATGCTAATGTGCTTTTAGCAAAAATGACATTAGAAAACATCCGTTGACCTTTAATTGCCACCCTTGGTCCCAATTGAAATCCATTATGTCATTAATGTGGATTTGGAGCCACAGCTTTGGGAAAAGGTATTAATTTAGTCCGATAATGATTCTTTGGTTTTGTGCTTGGCATCCAGAGTGCGGATAAACAAATATATTGAAGATTTTTTTTCTTTTCTAAAAGAATCAGTGCTTGTTAGAGTGCCATGAGGTTTGAGCTGCATTTTAATAAGCCACTGTTAATTGCTACTGTCAAAAAATGGCAAATTACAGCATTTTCCTTAAAAATAAACTGTTTGAAGTTTGACATGATTAAATGAGCTCTTAGCACCCGTGTCATGCTGCTGTCTCCATGTAAAAGACTCTTTCATGGTGAAATGATGCAATACCGGCTCTAACAAGCTCTTTATGGTATAATGGTTTTCTCCACTGCTTTCTCTGAGTGCTCTCACAATGTATGATTTCACTTTACTCTACATCCCTGCATCTACTGTCAAGTTTTTTACTCTACATACTTTCAGGGTTTTCAAACATCAATATAAATCTCTCACTTTCTTAGTCAGTATTACAGAATTCCAAAGTGATAATTGGCTGCAAACATATTGTTGATTGGAGACTATGGGACATTAGACTTGGCCAAACCATCCATTATGTGTCTTTCTTACTTATACAGTTTGTATCAATGTATGCGTGGCTGCCGAGCATGCAAGGCTGTTTTCAATCCCTATCAAACCACTTGGCATCTTGTTTTGTTTTGTTATGTCCTAAACCAAGCTAAACTGGGCTGTTTTAACCATACACTGTTTTATAATGGACAGAGTATGGTCTATTCTCCCCATTCAAAGTTATACACCTCCAGTTATAGAGCTGGTCTCCCGCAAGAAAGAGCTGCAAGCCCTCAGCTGCAGCTGCAATGGTGGCACTTTTGGAACTTTAAAATCCACAGCAGCAAAACAGACCTGGTTCGACTAAATCCGCCCCCGAAGCATTGACATGTGGGCTTTAAAGACGTTTTTGAGTCTCTTTGAGTTGTAGTCCTTTTATTTTTCCTCAAAGGACATATGAACTTGATTTGAACTTGCACAGTGGTGCAGTGGTTAGCGCTTGCACTTTACATCAAGATCCTAGGTTTCATTTCACCTCCAGGCCTGTCTGTGTGGAGTTTGCTTGTTCTCCTCATGTCTGCGTAGGTTTCTTCCAGGTGTTTCGGTTTCCCCATCATTAAAAACATATACATACAGATAACACAAAAATATTTTTTTTAAATAGTCCAGGGTTTTCCAGCTGAATTAGACTAATTGTGATGCTCTGAGTCCGAAAATGACCTTGGTTTTGCTAAATCAGGTCAGGAATTTTTGCTACAGAAATATTTTTTTAAATTGATTTTGCGTAAAAAACACATTTCTGCGGATCATCAGCTGAGAAACCCTTGACGTTTTTTTCCGTTTTCCTCAAGAAATAAAAGTCAACGTATCCAAAGTCATTCAGTTTTTATTTACTCCATCAAATTTGATAAGCAGAATTCATAATAACGTAGACGTACATAATCTGTAACACTATGGCTGTATCTCAAAAAGTTGGCCTGATAGAGCAAAATGCATGTGATATTCGGACTCAGAACACCAAAATTAGTCTAAATCAGTTGAGAAACCCCTGACCATTTTTTGGCTGTAAACTTGTGTAATAGTCTCCTCCAACACTCTGGGGGCCAGGACTCTCCTGAAAAATTAATTCTGCAATCTCAGTTGGACTTTCCTGCTTAAATAGAGGTCAATAGATAGATAAAATGTGCAATCAATTTGGGTAGTAATCCCAAATTAACTTTCATTCATGAGTTTAAGATAAAATGACTTAATAATCTATAATTAATAATCTTAAGAGTCAATAGGATTGACTGCAATGATAATTTTCCATCAACATTTTACCAGTTCATAATATTTTTTTGGGTTATTTGGTTTGTTTATTTTATGACTGAAAAAATATTTAAACATGTTTTGATAGCTGTATAATGAACCTATGACATCATCGGAGGACTCAGCACGTGTTGCATTGTGGTTAAAGGCTCAATGAAGATGTAGTTCCATGACATGAGCCCTTTATGTTGAGAGTTTGACATTCAGATAACAGGATTCTGACTGCTTCTCAAAAGGCATCCATGAAAATAAATACCTACGCTCTCATAACCTGCGAGATAACATGTCTTCTCTGCAGCCACCTCCCCAGTCTGAGAAAAGACATAGCAGGTACGAGATGACTGCTGTTCCTTCTCAAATCCAAATTGCTTTTCAGAGCCTGGTGAAGGGCTCAACTTGATTTGTTTATCAGTTTTTGGGTTACTCTCCTGAGTGGGGGGAGAAAAAGCCTCCTCTGGCTCCTCCGTATCTCTTGTCAAGGGAAGAAATATCTTATACAAAGCAGACATTGTGCCGCGGATGGCTTGTGTATCAAAGAAGAAACGGGAAAAACACAAAATAGGCCTCTTGGTTTTGTTTGCAAAGTGGTAAGTTTGAATCAGGACGGCGCATGCATACGTTTGCATAGAGACTACCTCCGAGGCTCCTCTTGATAATACTCATCCATTTTCATCGGAGTAGCGGAGTGGAGAAACTTACTCAAACTGACATCTGCTGCAGTTATCAGTCAAGCAACACGCGTCCATAGAGCAATGATTTAGGGAAAAAAGATTCACAAGCAGTTATTTTATTGTGCTCGCAGTCAGCGGTCAGCAATCTGTGACAAAAACCGGTAAATATATGAGCCATTTGGGGGATTTTATGGCTCAGATGTATTTTATGACACGGGAGCTTTCATCAAAATGTCAAAAGTGGAGGCACTCTGACAGCAGCAGACAGGCGCACAGATTTATCACCCGGAGAAGTTTGCCTGCTCTTTTTTAGCTCAGGCAAGTTTTTTTACACCTCTGGCATGAGGCCGCAATCACAGAAAAGAAAAAGGTGTTTAGGCGATAATATGATGGGTAATAGTACAGCGGAAGATTTTTATATTTTGAGTTGGTAAAAGTGTTGTGATTTGAAAAAATAGACTCCAAAAGCAGATCCAAGGAGTTACAAGTCAATTTAATAAAACAAAAATCACTGGAGAAGCAAAAAAAAGGTCCAAACAAGTTCCAGGAATAGCAATGGGAAAACTGGTCCTCCACCTGAGGAAAAGAGAAAATACAGTGTTAAAACAAGTCCACAAAATAGTCTCTCAAAAAGTCTCACAAAATGATTTGCTTCACCGCAGTCAAGGGACGAACTGGCAGTGGCTGAGTGGACTCCCAGCATACGAATACTCTCCCCAATTGGCTTGATGGGAGACAGGTGGGCACTCAAAGCAGGCACCTGCAATGGGGGAGGAGTCTCGCAGACACACAAGTTTAAGTAGGGGTGGGATTACACAAGTTTTTTTTAACTTCTTCCCACTCCTATTTTGGATTTGATTGTTTATTTATTTTGTATATCAGTGTATAATTACATTGCTTTTTTGTTTTCTCATTGAAAAAGTCCAAATAAAACATTCATTAATTCATTCAAGAGGAGGGGAGTGAATGACAGGAGGAAGGAGAAGCACCATAAACTGCCCTCACGACAAAAAGGGCTGTATGGTGCATGATTCTTTTAAAACGAATCAATTATTTTCAAATGATTTAGTAATCTGATATTTGTTTTCAATGACTTCGACTTTTATGACTCTATAATGAATGTGTTTACCATGTGTTTTATATCAAACAACCCAATTTTAACAAGTCATGATATGCAGATGTTCTCCTGCAGCATCCTTTGAGATTATTTTTAGTGAAATAACTGTTAGAAAATACAATTTCAGCTAATCAATCAAAGAATAATCAACTATTAACTATTCCATTATCAATAAAAACGTTAATTACCGTGCTAATGGCCAACGCTATGCACTCAGAAAGAAAGATTATAAAGACATTGAAAATGAGACAAAAGGCTTTAAAAAGAGGTATAGCATGCCTTAGTAGCCCTTACCATCAATGCTGCAAGTTACTGTGATAAAGATCATTAAAATGCATTTCAGGGGCCACTAAAAAATGATTTTATTTATTTAATTTGAGAATCAGGGTTTTACATTGTCCAGCGTGTTTGAACATCAGCAGATGTTACACAAAGAAAAGAAAGTAAGGCAAGTAAATAACACATGTGACGCCTAAATTGTCTGAGACGTGCCTGCTTTAAGGTATTCCTCCTCCAAATAAAATCAATTGCGCCGCTGGCCCTCTCCCCCTCACAAATGCACTGAGCAATGTCCAGAAGGATTGCCAACAGACTCACTGGCCATAGGTGCATATTCTAGAGACACTGAACTGCTCGTTCTAGAGGTTGCTGAACTGACCACTGTATCGTGGATTTGAAAAGTAAACAACCCTGGTCAAAAATAGCGAGACGCCGCCCCAGTGAGGAGAAAGCAAAGCCGCTTTGACAACAGTGCGGCGATAACAGGATCAATGCACGGATGGCTCGCTGTAATCCCGCTACTTTGCGTTAGCTTTGCCCAAATACAGAGAAAATATGCAGTCAAATCAAACAGACCTGGATCCAAACTAGAGGCTAAAGTTGGGACCAGTCTCATCTGAGTAACGTATAATCAATCTGTGACATTTAGGTTATTTTGAAACCTGACTTTGCTCTGATGAAAATACAAACTCTTCTAAATCTCAAATGTGAAGTATGTTTTCATCACAAATACATTTTGTTTCACATCCAGAGGTGGACAGACAGTGTAATGCAGGGGTGTCAAACTTATTTTGGTTGAGGGCCGATTAAAAAAAGAAAGGGCTGGTCAGGGGCCAAAAAAATAAGTGAGTTTCATTTATTATTATTTTTTGGAATATGAAGGTATGTATAGAAATGACTTGTTTCACATTAGTTGACTGGACATTCTTTTCTGTTTAGAATTAGTTCAGTTCCTGTGGACTGAACCAAAACTGGACCAAATATTGAAGGTATATGAGAAAATGTTCTATTTTTGGGTGGATCATCAAGACTATTGGTCCTCCCAACTGTCAATCATTCTGGTGATTTGTGCTTGTCAAACCACAGAGTTTTGTTCAAGAAGTGGTGAGGGCGGTTTTCTCCTAAGAAATTGGGAAATCCTTTATTTCTTACGTTTATGATTGTTTTCTCAGTGTTTTCTTTTGCTGCTATTTAATAAAATCATTTAAAATCATCTCAACGGCCATTGGCAATTGTCTCGCGGGCCGGATCTCAGTCTTTGACGTTGACACCTGTCGAGTAATGAGTTTTGATCCTTAAAAGCAAAACCCTCTTCTCCTTACAGTTCCTAAGTCTGGACTTGGGAACAGTGAGGAGGAGCTGCAGGTCTGAGGGCTCTGGGGGCGTAGGGCTGCAGCAGCTCTGACATGTACTCCGCTGCCAAACAATTTCGACATAGATTCATCACTGTGCCCTGATGAAGACGTTCTCACATGACTAATGGGGAACTCCGGAAAAAGTAATAATTAGAAGATGCACATTAACGCTCACACAAGGCAAAAAAAACTCCGCAACTTCAACTTCTGAATTTTTAAATCTGTATATGTTCATATTTTGTTAATAAACGTTGCTATTATTGCTGATAGTCTGTTTATTAGAGTAGGCCACTGAAGATTATAAGTGACAGCCTGACGTGATCACAAAGGTTTTCTTTAAAAGAGCTGTCAAAGAGCAGACTCTTGATTTTATTATTGGTGACATCAATATCCGAATAAGCACATGGGCATAAACAAGTCAGAACACCACATCTCAACTGGGACACTCAAGTGCCCGAGGACACCTGAACGCAGCATAAATACACAGGCTGGTCATGTACCAATAAAGAACCATAAAGCTTCTTCACACATGCAGAGTGTTGCAGATGTTTTATGACTTCTCCTCCAACCTGCACACATTTAACTCTACTAAACTACTCTTTCAAACATTGTAAGGTTTGATGTCTATATTTTCATGTATGGAGTCAGTAAAGCAGGCTAAATTTAGCCTGGCTCTGCCAGACCCTTGTAGTTCCGCCATGCTCCACCAGAGGCGTTTGGCTGAACCACATGGGTCTGGTATCGACGCCATAGCGAACGCCTTCCCCAGATTATGTTTTTATCGACCAATCAGGATTGCTGGTGTTACGTGGGGTTTGCACTGCCTCCTCAAGCTTCTCTCATGCAGCAGCGAGAGGAATCCAAGATGGCGGACGTAAAGTCCGCGAATCATTTTAAAAGAGTAAATACGATCGAATTAAGACACGGATGTCACTTTTAATGCAATTTGAGGCGAGTTGTTGATGGTTCTATGTTGATATATGTGTGTTTTAAGAGTCAAATGTTCCTGTAAAGTTTGGTTGAAGCACTGGTTCAGTGTTCCTGTTTACACACTATGCAGCAGGGTTGCCAGGTTTGGTGGTTCCCGCATATTTTTTTCCAAGAGACTTGTAGGTATTAAATAGTTGATTACATTACGTTTAGCCAAAAAATCCTTTTGAGTGTTTTTTTTTGGGGGGGGAGGTCTTCTTGCGGATTTTGGGTTGGAAAATCTTGCTGGGATTTTGCAACCTATGGGAGCCGTGTGCTTCGATGTGAGTGGTTGAAAGCAGACTTCATTCAAGATAACGGACAAGTGGTCTATCCAATCACATACAAGGATTGTTTTACAAGGCCCTGCCTTCTGAAATCCAACCACTATGGCTCAGTACCAGACTCATGTGTGAAGTGCAGCGAACTACATGGGTCTGGCGAGAGTCAGGCTAGGCTAAATTTGGTTAGTTTTATGATTTTTACGGCGCCCTGCAAATAACATGCAAACACAAACTACATTCTATGTGTTACTATGTTATTCCCATGAAATATCATCATGTGTGAACTCAATAGCAATGTATGACCACTATGGAGGTCTTTTTTTCTTTTTGCACATGAGGGAGGGTTAGGTTTAGGAAAGGCAAATATGCATTACTGATATCTGTATGGTTCCCTTCTAATGATCAAATGTACATATGGAAATAGAAAGAGCCTATAATTCTATAAATAAGATTATAAGACATTTTATGCATTGAATTCAAGTTCCATCTCAAATCCTGGTGAAGTTTGTGGGTCACCTTCAGGGATTAGCAGATTACCAGCGGTGCGTCCCCCTGTGTACCTCTGGTTCCTCTGCGGCGCCTGGACCTCAGGGTCAGTCACACTCGGCTCTGTGAAGGTCAGAGCTGTGCCCACCCAGGCTCCAGCAAACTCAAGTCTGCCTCTGCTCCAACAAGTGTCCAGAAGATGGATGCGGAACATGACTTATGGTTTTTCCACTCTCTGAGGAGGAGTGGGGTTTGTGCTAAAAGAAAGTGGACATTAAGATGGATGTGTGCAGGAAGAGAAGGCACTCGTTTATGTTTCACTGGTTGGACGAAAGGAAATCTTTGTCTGAAATGTCAAAATATTGGAAAAACACATTTGTAATTCTTTTATTGATGGATCTTTCATTCTATTTTAGTTCTTGTTTGGTTTCATTTCCAAGAAGTACCTACGTGAGGGCTGAAATATTTTTTTTAATGGTAACTTATTGATTATTGGACATAATCTCTAACTACATAGGTCTGCGTTCACACTGGGTCTGGTTCAGAAATTCTTTGCTTCCACACATGGTTTTACATCCACATAAAGCATGTCCGAGTGATTTGGTCTTTCCAGGTAATTTGAACCAGACAAATTGTAAACGCACCCTTTGTTAACATTTTTTTTTATTTATCTATAGATTTCAAATAATGGCATGCAGTAAATGATTTTTTTCATTTCACGTGTCAAATTAGAATCAAAATGTAATATTATTAGTCTATTGGCTATTTAATGCAACACTACTAACCCCCTATATGTGATTATTGTTGCATTAAACAAAGTGGATAACATTAAACATGGTCTATAAAAGGCATTCAAAAGAAGGACCCAATAAAGCCACGATATGTGACTTTCTGATGGAGGATTGTCACATGTTACATATTACCTAGATGTTGAAATGTACTAAATGCCAAACTGTGGAAGATTAAAACCAGAAGAACATGTACTTGATTTATGATAAGAACAGGATTTCTCTTTTCTTTCTTTCTTTAGTGCCATAACATTCAGAGTTGAAAAGCATTCCATAGGGTTGTCACAATGGTCTTTTCAGCCCAGTGGCAGCGACACAATGAGGGCTCTCCAAAGGCTCAGGTGGCAATGGGAAATGTACAATAGAAAGCTGCAGACCTAAAGACTGTTCTCTGTGTCTCCTTTGTCCATCGTGAGCAGTGTTCTGTTATTAATTGATTAAAAGGAGGATTTGTGTCTATGTTTACCCGAGTAAGCCGCTGCAGCTAACAGACAATAGAGGACATTCTCTGACATTATACTCGTGACCTTTGGGGAAAATAATAATTAAAGATGAATAAACAGCTACTTGATATAACCCCTTACTTGGAGCTTTTGGCGGCCCACAATGAAATCACCTGGAGGGAGATGTGGCTCTAAATCCAGCGCTGAGCTTTGCCTGCGGCGAGGACACAAGAAGGAGATCAGCAAAAAGCAGTCAAAAGGCTGAGATTTGTGATGATCCAGTCAAATGTATGCACAGACAAACTCCAGCGCGAGAGAGCTAACGGCAGCCCCCTCTTTCACACAACGTCCCCCCGATAAAAATACATATTCAATAAGAAAAGTAATTAAATGCGCCTTGCAGTCAAGTACAGCAGAGAGAGAGAGAAGAAAAAACTCCTTTTCTCTCACAAAGCTAAAATATGATGTGTTTTATTTGGTTGTTGAGGCCAATAGAAAGTGTAACCGATGCAAAACTGCCACTGAAACATCTTTCAACTGTTAATTTTCCGACGCTGGGACCAGAACGTCACTTTTTTTATTTATTTTTTTAAACAAATGAGCTGTTTTCCGGTGTCATAGCTTGCTGCTTTTAACTTCTTCGCCGTTGCTGAATATGTATTAGCTTCTTTCATTTCACTTTTGATCCGCTCTCGGAGCTACAAGAACAAGTGCTTGTCAAAATCCGAGGTTCATCCACAAAAATAATGTTTTCGGTTCGGCAATAGAATCCGACCTAGTACAACAAAAAGCATATAATTTGTCTTTTTCTGTTTGTTTGATGCGGAATCATCAAGACGCTCAAATCGAATGTGCAGACGCCAGTTGAGATTCGGAGAGACGTCGCTGTGGATTTATTTGGGTTTATATTGTCCAGCTCTGAATCAAGTACAACACAAACAAGTTGAATGGCTTGAGAACCAGCGCAAACAAAAAAAACATACTTAAAGCTGGGGTACCTAATTTTGAAACTACATTGAACTATGTGAGAGACTCTACCTTTCCTTGCTCTCAAAACAGTTTTGTTCCATCTTTTTCACACGCTCAACTCTTTCTCACAAGGATACACATATTTGTATTCATTAAGCCTAACCCTCATACTTATATACATTTTATTTATTTGCTGTTTGTTTGTGTCTTTATTTTATTTTTACTTTGTTGTAACTATTTTTTTTATCCTTTCTTACTGTTTTTATTTTTGGTCTTTTTTGGTACAAGGGGAGGATAATGGGGAAAAAAGGATAAAAAAGATGTGTGTTGCTATGCTGTGTGTAACATGAAAAAAGTGAACTAATGAATATGATACAACAAAGTAACAAGAAAAACAAGTACGCAAATATTTTTATTATTGAAGACGGGATGATGTAGTCTGATTTGTTAAAGAGCGACTAAACACCAAATCAACTTTTTTTTTACTCATAAACTGCATTATGTTAATTGTAGTACTCTCTACATATCCTGGTCATTTTGTAGACATTTTAGTGCAAATTAGATAAAATCGCACCTTTGAGCCTAAAAACGTCTGTGTGGCGCCCTCTCAACCTTGGTACTGAATTTAGATTTGGTCTTGGCCTCTCCATTGACTCTGTAATACTGTGTGACGTCAGTCTGTCTGCGCCAGTGATATAAACCCATCCAACTCTCACACACGCCCCAGCTGCAGGTTGGAGTATTCTGGCGACATCTAGTGGATTAGAATGAAATTACAAGAGTTGACAGCCACTTCTGCTGAGATAATTCAGTGACTTAGGTTCAGGTGTAGCCTGGTCGTACCACACCTTAGTACAAATTACATTTCGTACTAAGGTCTGGAGGTGCTCCATTGAGCTCCGTTTACAGGTGGGAGGGGTTAACTCCTTTTGCAGATTGAAACAATTGGATCTGAGTTTACCGTCACGTATGTAATGCACCTGAGTGAGTTGTTAGCATTTAGCATTTAGCCTAGCCATCTCCTTTGCCGCTAACGGAGCCCGTGGGGAGTTGTGCCACAATCTTGACCAGCGATTACATTTGCTAAACATTCCTCTGGCTCCTGCTTCAATTTCTTGATAGAACCAGACCGAATTACTTTACTATCGCATTCTTCGCCATTGCCAAACTACAACCTGCCCGTTCGGCGCAAACTCATGACGTCACCGGCACCAACCTTCAACACCCGCCTTCCGCGCTCTCTGAGTAGCCGGTCGAAATACGACCGATTGTATTCGGTAACACAGGGACCAGACCCAGACGCTACATGCAGTGAACGGATGGCTATGGCCAGGCTAGTTCAGGTGTGTAGCTCTACAATTATCTTAATGTGTAAACAAGGGTGGAATGAGACTTTCTGGTGTGTAAACTATTGCTTTAAGCAGCAATGACAACTGTCAATCACAGCCCAGACCACGCCCAACTCTGAGCCCTCCTTCTTGTCCCTTGGTCCTCCAGGAAACGCCCTTTTTAGAGAACATTTTCAAATGTTCATGTGGGCGGAGTAAGGCTGGGCACAGGTGTTTAGTCGCTCTTTTACAACATATTTAACAAATACCCAAAAGGAACAACATTTTTATAAATTAGGTCCCCCAGCTTTAATTCGAAGACAGAGCATTGGTAATATGTTACCTCCATTAGTCATGTAAATCTATAATTCATGCCAATGTTCTGTTTGCACATTTCCTGTCTTTTTGCACACTCTGATTCAGATTCATTTATTTGCCATTTGCAGATCTGAGTGATCCAGTTTTTGCCAAATGTGACATGTACGTTTCTCCTTTGTGAGATCAACCAAGTTTATCTTATCTTACAAATTCTTTCACAAAATATCTCAAAACTCTCATGATTAGGGGCCTCAAATGACCATACAAATGAGTTTTTTTTTTACAGGGAAATGCAAAACCAAGTCAAACCCATCAACACATTTTGCCCAACAGATTTGTGATTTTATATTACTCGTATATCAGTTGTATCAACTTTAAAGCCGGGGTATCTAACTTTTTTGTGTTTCATTAATGATACAGAAAGAGTCTTATAAAACATGAATTGTGAACAAATCAGACCTAAAGATTGGTGTCTTCGTCTCTAGTCTATTGTATTTGAATAATTAAAGTAATGTGCAGCTCACCGGTCATGTGAGAGTCGTCTAGTCAGAAAAAAAAGATGTCTTGTCTTGAGATAAGGTCCTATGTCCTGAATGTTCAAGGACACATGTGCAGACCGTTATACATGTGCCATTTGAGTTGAGCTGTCTTACTTTCCTCAATTTGTCTAATAATAAATAATAATATGAGGGACATGAATCGCAATACTTACTTTATTGCTACATGTTCAGAATCGCAATAATATGGAATCGTGGCCCAACTATCGCAATACCATTGGATCGTCAAATGTTTTGCCAATTCTCTTACTAAAAAGCAGATGTGACGGAGGCTAAAAATGCTATTATGAAAACTAGTCATTTTCAGAGCCATTTTACTGTGGTGAGTGAGAGTTTTTCTATTTTATATGAGATGAGCTATACATATCTATTTTATTTGAAAGTTACGTACCCCAGCTTTAATCGCTAACCCGATTCCATATTGTTATCCGTACCTGCGTTTCCATCACTCTCTACATTTAACACATGCATTAAACATTCCATCACAGTAAACTACGAGGACAGGCGACGACACCAGCCGAGCTTTAATCCCAAATCCACAAACAGAGTTGCAGACGTTTTACAGACGCGGAGAGAGCGCTGTCGGGAGGAAAAGGCAGGATTTTGGGGTTAAAAAAGCTCTGATAAACAGCCTGTGTTTACTCTGCACCTTGGCTATGTTAATAAGGGGTTTGATTGCAGTGGCATATTTAAATGTTCGCCTCTAAATACGCTCGTCTGACTCCAAATGTCAAGTGGCACAGATGAAAAAGTGGAGCAGATGTGCCGCACTTATTGAAAAAAACACACATTCACTTCGGACCAGAGAAAA